TACCTTCTTGTAGAAGTCCATTACATCTATCTATGTTCTAAATTCCACCCCGTTTGGGTGAAAACTATGGGAGTTATAGCTGTTTAAAGTTTCAGCCAATCAGATTGCAGCACATGTACACGCACGTGTATGCATGTGCATGGTGACCATACCTACTTGTAGAAGTATATTATATCTATCTATATTTCCAAATCCCATCCTGTTTGGTTGAAAACCAAGGGAGTTATAGCTGTTTAAAGTTTCAGCCAATCAGATTGCAGCGCACGTGCATGCACGTGTTTTCATGATAATTGCTTTATTTCAAGTTGTAGGATATCCTAATGCATGGCTATGTTCAAAATTTCAAAGGATTTCGTCAAAAAACAAGAAAGATATTGAGACTTTCGTTGCAGCCAATCAGAGCGAAGTGCACGTGCATGCGCGTGAGATCTTGCTATTTTCACCATGTCGTCATGTCTATACTACTAATACATCCTCACATTACGAGTTTCAAAGCATTTCATATAAAAAAAGAAAAGTTGTGGCTATATCTATCATATTGGTCATTTCACGTGTTGCACGTGCACGCTCTTGCAAGCACGTGCGCGCAAAATGACCTTGATTCCGCAAATCTACATAACATGTCTACTTACCCTAAAAAGGTTTTACCTACATCGGACGAACAGTTTACAAGATCATTCCCGGACAAAAAAGTTCCAGGAAGAAGAAGAAGAAGAAAAATAATAATAATAATAATAAGAAACAGAGTAAAAACAATATGTTCCCCAACTTCGTTTGGGGAACATAATAACTAGTGCTAATTGTAACGGGGACCGTTACAGATGTTCCCCAAACGCTCCCCAACTCCCTTTTGGTGCCATATATTCCCTGTAAGCTTCATTAAATAGGACAAAATCTATGCATTTGAGACTTTAACAACGCCAAGTTCATTCAAATTTTAGCATTGCATGGGTGTGCATGTGAATGCATGTGCGTAATGACCATATCATCTTGTCTACACAATCTATATATTTTTTATGTACTAAATATTAAAGTATTTTATCCAAAAGTATTAAAAAATACGCTCATTCAAGTGTATTTTTGATTTTACTCATTTCACGTGCACGCACGTGCATACATGAGCATGGTGACCATACCTTCTTGTAGAAGTCCATTACGTCTATCCATGTTCTAAATCCCACCCCGTTTGGTTGAGAACCAAGGGAGTTATTGCTGTTTAAAGTTTCAGCCAATCAGATTACAGCGCACGTACACGAACGTGTATGCATGTGCATAGTGACCAAACCTTCTTTTAGAAGTTCATTATATCTATCTATGTTCCAAATTCCATCCTGTTTGGTTGAAAACCAAGGAAGTTAAAGCTATTTAAAGTTTAAGCCAATCAGATTGCAGCACACGTGCATGCACGTGTTTTCATGATAATTGCTATATATCATGTTGTAGGATATCCTAAAGCATGGCTATGTTCAAAATTTCATAGGATTTCGTCGAAAAACAAGAAAGATATAGAGACTTTAGTTTCAGCCAATCAGAGCAAAGCGGACGTGCATGCACGTGAGATCTTGCTATTTTGACCATGTCATCTTGTCTACGCTGCTAATATATCCTTACATTATAAATTTCGAAAGATTTCATCAAAAAATAGAAAAGTTACGGCTATATCCAATATATTGGTCATTTCACGTGTTGCACGTGCGCGCTCTTGCAAGCACGTGCGCGCAAAATGGAATGTTGACAATGTCATCTTATCTACATTTATAATATGTCTATATATTCTAAATATCAAAGCATTACATCGAAAAATGTAAAAGTTACGGCAATTTCAAGTATATTGGTCATTTCACGTGTTGCACGTGCGCGCTCTTGCAAGCACGTGCGCGCAAAATGACCTTCGTTCCGCAAATCTACATCATATGCCTACTTACCCTAAAAAGGTTTCCCCTTAATCGGATGTGTACTTTACAAGATCATTCGCGGACAAAATTTTCCCGAGAAGAAAAATAATAATAATAATAATAAGAAACAGAGTAAAAACAATATGTTCCCCAACTTCGTTTGGGGAACATAATAATAAGAAACAGAGTAAAAACAATATGTTCCCCAACTTCGTTTGGGGAACATAATAAGACATGTATGTATCGTATGTAGCCAACTGACTGCATCAGACTTTTTTAGCTCACCTGAGCCGAAGGCTCAAGTGAGCTTTTCTGACCACATTTTGTCCGTCGTCCGTCCGTCTGTCTAGCCGTCTGTCTGTCCGTCTGTAAACTTTTCACATTTTCGACTTCTTCTCAAGAACCACTGGGCCAATTTTGACCAAACTTGGTACAAAGCATCCTTGAGTAAGAGGGAATTTAAATTGTTAAAATGAAGGGCCAAGTCCCATCACAAGGGGAGATAATCAAGATAAGACAAAAATAGGGTGGAGTCATTAAAAAATTTTCTTCTCAAGAACCACTGAGCCAGAAAACCTGAAACTTGTGTGGAAGCATTCTGGGGTTGTGTAGATTCTAAATTGTTGAAATCGTGACCCCCGGGGTAAGGGCGGGGCCGCTATGGGGAATCAAAGTTTTACATAGAAATATATAGGAAAAATCATTAAAAATCTTCTTCTCAAGAACCACTTGAACAGAAAAGCTTAAACTTGTGTGGAAGTATTCTGCGGTAGTGCAGATTCTAAATTGTTCAAATCATGACCCCGGGGGTAGGGCGGAGCCGCTATGGGGAATCAAAGTTTTACATAGAAATATATAGGAAAAATCTTTGAAAATCTTCTTCTCAAGAACCACTGTGCCAGAAAAGATGAAACTTATGTGGAAGCATCTTGGGGTAGTGTAAATTCTAAATTGTTCAAATCATGACCCCCGGGGATAGGGCAGGGCCACAATGGGGAATCAAAGTTTTACCTAGAAATATATAGGAAAAATCTTTAAAAATCTTCTTCTCAAGAACCACTGAGCCAGAAAAGATGAAACTTATGTGAAAGTATCTTGGGGTAGTGTAGATTCTAAATTGTTCAAATCATGACCCCCGGGGATAGGGCGGGGCCACCATGGGGAATCAAAATTTTACATAGAAATATATAGGGAAAATCTTTAAAAATCTTCTTCTCAAGGACCACTGGGCCAGAAAAACTGAAACTTATGTGGAAGCATTCTGGGGTAGTGCAGACTCTAAATTGTTCAAATCATAACCCTAGGGGGTAAGGGCCGCTATAGGGAATCAAAGTTTAACATAGAAATATATAGGAAAAATCATTAAAAATCTTCTTCTCAAGAACCACTTGAACAGTAAAGCTGAAACCTATGTATGGAAGCATTCTGGGGTTGTGTAGATTCTAAATTGTTCAAATCATGATTCCCGGGGGTAGGGCAGGGCCGCTATGGGGAATCAAAGTTTTACATAGAAATATATAGGAAAAATCTTTGAAAATCTTCTCAAGAATCACTGGGCCAGAATAGCTAAAACCTATGTGAAAGCATCCTGGGGTTGTGTAGATTCTAAATTATTCAAATCATGACCCCTGGGGGTAGGGCGGGGCCACCATGGGGAATCAAAGTTTTCAATACAATGGGGAATCAATGCATCCTGTGGTAGTGTACATTTCAAAATGTCTAAATTATATCAGTGGGGTAGGGTGGGGTAACAATATGTATTACAAAGGGGAAATCTGGTAAAGAACAGAATGGTTGAAGCTTCTCGCGTGAGCGATGTGGCCCATGGGCCTCTTGTTGTTTGTTTGTAGCAATTTGTCTTTTAAACAAAATGTTATAATTCACATTGACTATAATGGGATGGTCTCAGACTCTGTTTGTTTCAAGGATAAATTATTTGGGTCACTTTTTGAGGCTAGGTTTCATTTATCTTTTTTTTATTTGTTAGAAAGATTCATTTGTTAGATGTAGACCTTCAATCTTGTATCCTTGTTTATCCCTTGCCTTAAATTGTATCAAAGTTTCTTTTTTTAACTTTCAAATAGGAAGAACTTATAGATGTAGTGATATGCCGTAGTGTAAATATAAAATAACGTTTACTGAGATGACTTTTAAGGCACACTTACATGTACATAATTGCCTGTTTCTTTAGTGTTTTTTTTTTATTTATTTAAAAAACACATACAATGAGTTACATGTAACCTGAAGAATCTCAGTAATATAAAAAAGCATGCAAACCACACAGAAACAGCAACTTAAAATATTATGCACAAAATTAATCAAGAAAAAAGTACAGTGGCTGTATATTAACAAGATAGTTTGGAATTTTAAATGACAACTTTCAACCAACATAAACATGATAAAAAAATTTACAATGAAATATATGGCGATAACAAACAGTATTCGAATGTTCCTTATACAATGAAATCGGCAGCAGAGGAAACGCAGTCCGCTAAGGCATCGTAGGTGGATCAGGTGCCATGGAGGAGTGAGCATCCCCTGCCGACCGGTCACACCCACCGTGTGCTTTTTCTCAGGACCGGAAAACAACGAAAAATGAAAAGTGCAGCCGCAAATCTCGATTTTCTTTTTAATTTCAATATCTTTTTAATAGAAATTTCTTCAGAGATATACCCATAAATCCTTCGAATAACAGCCAACATATACATGATATATATTCTCTTTATAAGATATATGCCATGTATCACTTTAAGGATATTTCTAAAAAAAAATCATGTATGTTTTTTTTTAATAAATCTCACATACATATTAAACTGATAAGGTTTCTTTTGAAACACCTATTAGTTTATAAATAAAATATGATGAAACTAGAGCAAAGCTCATTCCAAAGCAAAGAGTAGGTCCTCCGATAGTCTAAGATTAAAAAATATATCAAAACAAATTAAAATGCTCATATACAATTTGAATGATTTTGAAAGGGAAAAAACGGGAGGATGGGGTTGGGTGGAAAAATTTTAAAAAGCCTCTTTCACTTTATAATCTTTGGACGCTTTTATCAAACTGTTAAAACTACAAAGTTCATTCATATAATTTTCTTTACAACAGGTTGTTAGTTGGGGCACCGCTTGATTCCTTATCTTATGCCAAAAATTACAGTAATACAGGAAACGTCTTTCTGTGTCCTGTACATGTCCAGGAGAAAATTACAAATCTTACGAGTTGTACGGAAATACGATTACCAGACTTAAGAAAGATAGGTAAGTATTAATAATAATTTGGAATTGATTTTGATATTGAAAACAAAACTTTTAACGTATAAATTGGTGTATAACTCTGACTTCGAATTCAAAGTATATGTATATGTACATGTATATGCCACATACATGTAGAATTCGAGATATTCAAAATGGAAATATCGTGATTTAATTTTTCTTCCCTGTATATGGGCTCCAAATAATATGTTGGAATTTAAAGGGCACTAATTATGCACTTTTAACAGCCGACTTGGTTTCACATATTCGTATCATTTTTAAAAAGACAATTTATTTATATTGCTTTGGCCTTCAACTTGACAAACAGACATATCAACAACGTTGTGATCACTGATAGCCCCAAAAAATTTAAAGTACCTCCATTATGCCACATTCTCAGACGAATTTATCCGACACCCTTTTCAGAACATACTACTCTTGGTAGGCGTGGGCGATCAACAGGGGGCATAAACACCTATACATGTAGGCAACCGTTCTCGTCTCAAAAATGCCCATAGGGTTGTGTTTTATACCCTTTTGACAAATTTTGGTAATTTGCCCGTTTGTTTGTTTCATTCCCTTTCGAGAAATTCCACTTATACTGAGATGCCACCACTTGCCTTATGCTTTCGGGGATGCACTTTTAGACCCACGCTTAGCACTCAAGGACATTGAGTAATCATTTTTGTGCCAGCACTTAGTGGGTTACTTCTAATAATGATTCCTCGTGAACTGAAAGTATGACATAACCTTGAAACAATGCAATTTGATCAAGTTCAAAATATTTTTTTCCTTTCGTGACCATATCTTCCAATAGATAATCTAAGTACCCATGTGCATGGCAATATATCTTTTGACCATAGGATATGTAAATGACTGTACAGATCTTAATTCATCCTCATTTCAGCTATTTCAAATCTCTGGCAAAAGAAATAGTTACTTTAAAACATCTTATTGATAAAGCTAAGGTGAAGTTTTGTTTGTAGGTATATACTTGAAACAGATATTAATATTGCTGAAGTCGGAAGCAGGTGTAAGCATCTCACCTAAGGGAATGAAAGCTATACCACAAAGTCAGACACATCTGTTTCAAATTTGGATATTTTACTTGAAAAAGAACCTCTAACAACCAATATCTATGATAAACATGATGACTTAAATTTTATAATCGCCACCTTCCTTTCCCCTTGCAGTAATATACTTGTTTACAGGAAAATTTTCATTTTCGTTTTCGCCTCCTTCGCCCTTAACTTGGTTCGGCTAATTTAACAAGAGGCCCAGGGGCCACAGCGCTCACCTGAGCACATCGGCTAGATAAAAAGCTCATATCAGATCAGAACTGAAAGTTTACTAGGGGGGGGGGGGGGCTTGAATTTTAACCCCCCCCCAGGGGGTCATCATTTGAACAAATTAGAATCTACACTACCTGAGGATGATTCCATTTAAATAAAAAAATATCACTAATCATGGCTTTAAAGTAACTGAAAAGAATATTTTAAAAGGTTTCCCTATATATCCCTATGTAAAACTTTGGTCGGCCATTTTGGCCCCATCCTAGCCCCTGGGGTCATGATTTGAACAAACTTGAATCTACACTACCTGAGGATGATTCCACATGAGTTTCATCTTTTCTGGCCCAGTGGTTCTTGAGAAGAAGATTTTTAAAGATTTTTCCTATATATTCCTATGTAAAACTTTGGTCGGCCATTTTGGCCCCACCCTAGCCCCAGGGGTCATGATTTGAACAACTTGAATCTAAACTACCTGAGGATAATTCCACATGAGTTTCATCTTTTCTGGCCCAGTGGTTCTTGAGAAGAAGATTTTTAAAGATTTGTTCTATATATTTCTATGTAAAAATTTGGTCGGCCATTTTGGCCCCACCCTACCCCCGGGGGTCATGATTTGAACAAACTTGAATCTACACTATCTGAGAATGATTCCACATGAGCTTCATCTTTCCTGGCCCAGTGGTTCTTGAGAAGAAGATTTTTAAAGATTTTTCCTATATATTCCTATGTAAAACTTTAGTCGGCCATTTTGGCCCCACCCTAGCCCCGGGGGTCATGATTTGAACAAACTTGAATCTACACTACCTGAGGATGATTCCACATGAGTTTCATCTTTCCTGGCCCAGTGGTTCTTGAGAAGAAGATTTTTAAAGATTTTTCCTATATATTCCTTTGTAAAAATTTGGTCGGCCATTTTGGCCCCACCCTATCCCCAGGGGTCATGATTTGAACAAACTTGAATCTACACTACCTGAGGATGATTCCATATGAGTTTCATCTTTCCTGGCCCAGTTGTTCTTGAGAAGAAGATTTTTTTAAAATGCCATTAATTTTTCCCTAATTCATAATTATCTCCCCTTGGAAAAGGGCGAAGCCCTTCATTTGAACAAACTTGAATCCCCTTCACCCAAGGATACTTTGTAGCAAGTTTGGTTGAAATTGGCCCTGTGGTTCTTGAGAAGAAGATGAAAATGTGAAAAGTTTACGACAACGACAACGACTACGACGACGACGACAACAACGACAGACAACGGACAAATTTTGATCAGAAAAGCTCACTTGAGCCTTCGGCTCAGGTGAGCTAAAAAGGGGCGATCAAAGAATACAGTATAATTTCTTAAATAAAACTGTGACTGGGCGAATTTAAAACGTGGCGAAATTGTTTGCAAGGGTGAAGGGGCGAAAATAAAACGGGGCGAAAATAACCCTGTATACAGTACCTTCTTCGTCTGCATACGTACGGATTTATATATCTCAGTTGATTCGATAGGCAAGAACATGCCTTACTCATGAACAATTTCTAAAACGAGGTAAATCATTGACAAACAAACTGATGTAACAAGAATATCAGCAGTCTCGTTTAAAGGCATCATTTCATAAGATCTCTGGTCGATACAATTGATTAAGGTCACTGTTGGAAAAAGTTAAACTTGAAACTTCAAATTCGTTTTTAATCTCATCGAAGGTCATACACTGTACTTAAAAAAGAAAGTAATTACTAGCAAGTCATGGCTGTTCTTTGACCTTGACTCGTGATTATCTCTTCAAATTTAAAATCATTTTCAAAAAGTATCAAGGTTGTTACAATGCCCCAATCCAATTCAATTCAAAATGTTCAAGGTTCTTTAAAGTAAAATTTAGGGATGTTCGATTCGTAATTTTCAGATGGAAAAGCAATCTAAAGGTTCATAATTTATTTATTCAAAGATTAATTATGTCATATGATGTGATATATACAATAATTGGAGAAAAAAAAAATCTGTCAAAAAAAATTATCGGTACTTTTTTGTTTTTTAGTTTCGCAGGACTCCAGGCTTGGTGCAAGTTTAATGGTTTTAGAAGATACAACACTGGTAAGTTTTTTAATTCAAGATTTATTTTATTTCTTTAAAAATCACATATGTTTGTGAAACACTGATATGCCAAAAAGTATAAATAATAAATATTATCGTTTTAAATGCATTTATTTCAGATTTGTGCACCTGGATTTAAAAATCCATACAAGCAAAATGAGACTTCCGGTGCATGCGTATACTTTAAGAATAATAACATCTCGGATGTATCCGGTCTGCTTATTCGAATTACAAATGACAGTTTCAACACGGCCATGTTTGGATTTTCAATGGCGCCTGGAATAGTAAGCTTTCTTTTACTTCATATTCTTCTTAGGATTTCGAGGGTAAAGTTACAAAGTGGTTTTTATTTTGTGGTTCTTTTTAGCTCCCCTGAGCTGATACCTCATGAGCTTTTCTGATCACCCAGCGTCCGTCCAATCGTCTGGATGTCCGTCCGTCTGTCACATTTTCAACATCTCAAGAACTAAAAGGACAAAGGACAAATTTTTTGTTTTTGCCCCTAATTTGAGGTGTCTTAGACTGATGCAAAATGTTTATATATAAAAACATTTTGTCAACCCTGCCTTAATTGAATATTAGTTTTTAGTGAAGGGATACACAAAGCTCACGGAGAGATCAGGGAATATGTCAATTTCAGAATTTCTCATTTTAATGTAAAAATAAAATTTCATCGATTTTACATCATATTTTATGTATTAAATCTCAGATAGGCAAGCTTGTGCTCTATGTCTCCCAAAGAGAAAAGTATCACAAATATGACAAAAATTTACCAAAATTATGGAAATTCTGGGAATTGTCCTACTTTTGCACCCTTTTGTAGCTTCCGTGTATGCATCGAATCAAAATCAGTTCTGGTTATAAAACAAGCATCTTTTTGAGATCTTAATTACAAACAATCACAATTTTACCAATGCTTTGATTTAACATTAAAAAAACAGGCCAGAAATCAGCCGTTACCATACATTGTCCTTTAGCCAAAAAAGTTACGGAACATTCTTGAATGATAGAGATGCTTAAATTTTAAAACTAAGGATCAAAATTAGAGTATAGTCATTAAAATCATCTTCTCAAGAGCTACATGCATTGTGCAAGAAATCTACGACTTATAAGCGCATCCTTCGACAGTATCATTTTTAAATTGTTTAAGTCATGAAATCCGGAATGGGGTTGGGCACAATAGGGAAGCAAAGTTTTAAGTAAAATACATAGGGAACAAAATATTTAAAACCCTTTTCTCAAGAACTTCTGGACCAAAAAAGTTTAATTTATATGGATGCATTCTGGGGTAGAATTTTATTCTAAATTATTCGAACATGGTAATCAGGATAGGGTATGGCCACAACAGGGAATCAAATTTTTGCATATGCCAATAAATTCCTTTTTTAAATTTGATATTGTAAAAGACTTTAAAAATGTATTTCTGTATGCAATATACCATATGTAAGATTTCTCTATCAACGACAGTTTGGGGGTTTATAATTTCTGACTTCCTTTGTTGAAAGGGCCCATGCACTGGTTTAACGATATTAGACATGCTTTTGTTCTGTTGCATATACAACAATAATGGTTCTTGTAGATCTGATTTTTTTTACTTTTGCGAAAAGCACTGACTTTAACTGTTGACGGCTTACTTTTACACTAGGACAATGTAAGGAATCTCTTTAACAATACAAATATATAGCTCAACATGTAATTAAAGGAAAATAACGAATTATTTCAAAGCACAAAATATACTACTCTTGAACAAAACGACAACCACCTTGCCCTCAAAACACTATCATGACATTATAGTGCCCTTAACACTATATATTATTATAAATAACCACTAGAAAGGGTTTCTTATCTATTATCAATTCTGTACATCCGTACATGATATACATGTTTAAATATCAAAGTAAATCGTCGACTTTAAAAGTCAGTGCTTCTCTCAAAAGTCCTTTATGTTATTTTTTTGTCCAACAGAATGAAACATTCCCATACACTGTTGGTGGACCAAACAGCGGGAAACAAGGTATGTCTCTATAGCATTGTAGAACTCAGTAAATCAGTCAAATTTCAGTTGACCTTCAGTCATTTTTCAATAATCAGAATGCCAGAGTTTCATCCTGTGTAAATCGTAACTAGTCACCTAGTCCTAAGTAGTATCAATGATTCAGTAACTAGTCACCTAGTCCTAAGTAGTATCAATGATTCATTAACATTTATTAGTCTATAAGTTACTAATAATTACTTACATTAGCTATTTAGTTTTAGAACTTTAATAGGAAAGCACAATATTCCAGCAAATTTTATAGATATTTCTTTAAATAGTACGAATGAGTTACTCACTTATTTTTATGTACATTTATAGAGATATTTGTAATAGTTTTTTTTTTTGGTTTTCTTTAGAGTAGTTAAGTCATTTAAGATAAATGTATCCAATTTCAGTTGAACATAACCCTAATCCGATCATTATAAGACATTTTCCAAAGAAAGTAATGATCATATAATTATCCAAAAACATCACTAGCAATAAAATTATTTACTTTTCAAAGACGAACTCTGTAAAAGTGTAAACAAAAATTTACATTGTTACGTAAGATTTCCATTCTTAATGAAAGAAAAAAATTACCACATGCCAAATTACGTAATTGTACTTCATATAAAGTAGATATATTGTTCAACATCTTGTAACATATACAATAGTCTTACTCTTGTTCATTATATTTTGGTCTTCAAAGAAATATTTTGTTTAAATTTGCTCTGATCTTTAAAAAAAAAAAAATCAAAGACCTAGGGGTGAAGTTTATAACAACATATTACTGTATGTACATAATTCATGTAATTCATTCTTCCTTACCTTTTGGAAGTAACATAGTCTTTCTGCCTCAAATCCATCAAATTCTCGATGAAATTCGGTTTCTAGGATATATTAAGTTTTGATACTAACATTTTATGGATCAAATTTGCCAAAACCCCTTTAGAACCGATTCTCTAGACTATATCCATGATCTTATTAGAGAATAGTAAACTTATACTTGAAAGAAAAACTTGGAATATTCAGCAAAAATGGAGAGTAGACATAAAAGCACGTGGCGTTATAAGAGTTGAAATCCGTCGATTTTTGATTATTCCAACAAAAAAAAACTCTTTCATTTTATTGAAGCAAAGAAAGATGTTTCGTTGTCAATATTTATATTTCATTGGGAAAAAGATATAAAAATGATAAAAATACATAAACATCTTAAAAGCAATATAAATTCTTAAAATTCAAGACAAACAAACTTTAATGAATGTACAAAATACAGACTGTACTAAACTGTAAGCAGGGCATAAAACACGAACTCCTGTAGATTCCAGTGATAGGACCTGTTGCTTAGGAGCAGTAAACAACACTCACGTGACGGAATCAGTTGACCTTTAACACTTTGTTTGCTTTAAGAGTAATGATTACAACAGTTCTAACGAGATAAAAAAATCTCTATTTATTGCTCCAGAAAGAAAGCAATTCGGTTTCAGAGGAAATAAAGGAATAACTTCAGTACAACTGCATTGTGCACTGACTGTATACTCAATGCATGCAGTGCCTGTTCTCTGTACTTTAAAAATATCATGCTACATATTGATAGGTGTAAGTGATTTTTTCTCAAGAAGCGTAACTTAGATACTTAAAAACTACTGTTAGTCGCAAATGTTCATTTCCTTGGGAATTTAAAGCGTCCCATTTTTTAATACCAATGGTGCTTTGCAAAGCCCTTGACCTAGAAAAAAAATCCAATGACGGAAATTAACATGTAACAACACTTAATAATATCTCTTTTATAATTGCATGATTCTTATGTAATAGCAACATTTTTTTTCTGTCTATCCATTTCATTGTCTATCTGAAACCAGGCGACTACGCAGGTATGTGCTTTTTAGAAACAGCTGAGCTTCGTTGATTTTAAAGCAAATTTTCCGGATAAGCAAAATGTCCGGATAAAAAGCATCATGGTCAATGAGGCTCTACTGTACCCTGTTCAAATAAAAAAAAAACCCTGCTAGTGGACTTTTGTGAGGAGCACTGCCTTTTAAAATGGGCGGCTTACTTTTACACTCGGACAATGTATGGAATTTTTTTTACACTATTAACATTTAGCTCAACATTTAATTCAACGAAATTAATGGGTTATTTTAATGTATTATTTCAATATACGTTATTATTGAAGAAAACGACAACCATTCTACTCTCAACTCCCGGCCTTCACATGCAATTGCCCATAACACCATATCTAGGATCACGTGATACAGGTTTAAATACTGTAAACACCCATACTAATGTGTTCGGAACTTTTTATTTTTCGGTGTTCTACAAATTATAAAACCCGATGAGTTCAGAGTAGCTCTGGCAGTGGCTCTGGCGAGAGTTAGCGAGACTACAGCGAGATAGGATAAATTATTCACGGAAATTTGGCTAGGAAGTGACTAGCACGTGGAGTCATGGTAAACAGAAAAGTTATGTTGCGTTTTAGTTTTCACCACCCTATAATATCATTCTGCAGAAATGTACTTCAATCTATATCTCTTGAATTTATTCAAATTTAAATCATAACTGTCCTCTATGTTACACTTTTCTGCTGTCATGAATTAAAATTTCTTTTTGGACAAATATTTTGCGTGGGAACCGGGACTATATTTTTTGGCGTTAGATTAGCAAATGAGGCACCAATGTGACTTTAACTGACAAATCACTGAATGGGAATTGCATTATGGGTTACTACGAATACTACAGGAATTTTACGCTTGATAAATTCCTTTATTGTACCATCGGTGAATACAGTTGTCAGGTGGATTCCCTGGCCAACACACGTGATCACGAGTATAGTTATGTAAAAAATGTTTTGTCCATTTAAATGCATACGAGAAGCTGCTCGTTTTCCTTACCCTTGAAGTGTTGCTGAACTTGACACTAACTACGTATGCGATATTTATTAAACATATTTTTTCTAGTTAACAACAAATTAAAAACGCCCGTGATATCTTTGTTAAATCATATTTTCTAATGTTTGCATTCCGTTCATAAGAACCTTTTTTTATTTTTCACTCCATTGACATGATCATAGATTGACCTGAACCACGTGTTCGATGTAACATGTCAACATTTTTTACCAGCGTATCGGTCGCTAGTGAGCTGTAATTTTTACAGTAAACTATGATAAGATATATTAATTGTTATTTACCCCCCCCCCGGCCCCTTCCCTTTAGCCACCCATTTCTGTTGAAAATCATAAAAGTCTTTCAGAAAGGTCTGGAAACTCATTTTTCACAGAACATGATTTCAAACGAAACAGACTATAGCAATTTCCTGTTTACTGCCAATTTTATTTATAAAACCGTTTCTACCCTATAACCTTTGAATAGGTAAACCTAAACCACGTGTCTTGAATTTAAATCACAATAACATTTGTAGGGGTGTGTAAAGATCAGTGCTTCTCGCAAAAGTCCTTTATGCGTAAAGTTTTCTTTACGATTGTGAATTTTTCTTGCTAAGAATATATTCCAATTTTTAATATATTTCCCATGTAATGCTGCTGAAAGTTAATATCAAACACTATTTTATCATTTAGTTAGAAATGGTGAACTGTTGTATTGCTTATTTATTTTTCTTATATTCAATTGCTTACGTAGTGGGTTTTTTTTCATATTCCCTTTTTTTTCCATGGCAAAGATTGCACATTGATTAGATTATTGTATATCGCAGAACGTGAGTGATTTGAATCACGTGATCCAAATCAAACCAGATTCCAATGTTTACACATGTATTCTTTTCTTTCATATCCCAAGAGTATATAGTAGTTTAATATGAAAAAAGAAAATTAAATTGTCGGAAAAAAAGGAATATATAAAGTCATATTTTTAATTTTCATAAGTGGAATATACTCGTATAAACTAAAAAAAAAAAAACAGTAAAAACTTAAAATAAATCATTAAATCATATATTTATATATATGATTTTATTTATTATGTATTTATTTATTTTGTATTGATTTGAGTATATGTATGATTCCTGTATAATATTTTCAGGGTAAAAATAAGAATTTAATGACAGTTAATCTGTATTTGTTACTTACAACAAGAAAACAACAGAATACAATGTGTATTACATGTAATATGACAATGTTTTTTTTTCTGGAAAGCCATCTATTTTCACTATATAGATCTATATGTTCCAAATGACACAGCAATACACATGTTTTAAAATTATAATGCAATAATAGAGATTTTCCTCAACTTCATGCCTAATGTCAACGCTATTTTAAAACGCCCTACATAGTTTATTTAGATATAAAGGTTAAAACTATAATCCTGTAACTGTTCACACTTCAGTACATGTTCTCTTTACTTTGAAATGTAACATGAAAAAATCTTTTGAATAAAATATATACGGAGATAAGGAACAGTATTCAGGCTCAAAAGTCCATTAAAAAATACAAAACAGGAGCGGAGCAAACACGGACCTCCAAAACATCAGAGGTGGGATCAGGTGCCATTGAGGAGTGAACATCACCTGACAACCGGTCTTACGTATCAGTACTCGTGTTCCTTGGTCTTTACATGTATTTATTTTTGCAACAAATTATAAAAAAAACATGTACTCGAGTCAAATTCTCTGATCATTATGAATTTTATTGATAATTCGATTGGATAACATTTAATTGTAAGATTTTTATTTGTTATGAATACAGTATGTTTCCGTTATATATGTATAAAATGGTCAAGCATTGACATGTCTTTAACATTGTTTGTCTTGATATTGGATTGTAATACTTTGATCTGTAATTGAGTTTTAAAATTAATGAACAATATGTAAAATTATAGATTTTTTTTTGGTTTAAAAATTAAAGGTAAATTTCAATTTTATTTGTAGAAGGAGGTCTGGCCACTTTTACAACGTCTCGTCGAGGTCTAACAAGCCAAATCGTAGCAGGGACGACTTCCATTCAGCCTGGAGCATATTTTGGTTAGTATATACAAAAAGACCTTCCTGAGGTTCTTTGATGTGTCTTACTTTTCATTCCGTTTCAGGAATCCAACAAATAAAATTCTCTAAACAAATGACAGCCATCAAATAAAAAAAGATCATTTTTAGGTTCATTGAAGTTGCATGTAATTTGATTACATATTATGAATCCAACAAATAAATTTGTAAACAAGTAAATTTGTTCACATATATTCAGAGAACCTACTCTGGTCTCATAAAATTGTGCTATAAATGATGGCTATGATTTTCCAATTCAGTTGATATTTAAAATGTCCACTACCTTTTTAAAAGTTTTTTTTCTCGTATTTTACGATAAAAGACGTTTATTCTAGTTAAAGAATATCTGAAGGATGATCTGCTTTCATAAATAAAAAAACAGGTCCATAACCACCGTCCTTAAATTTCGCAACAAAACTGTTATTTTTCATGAATTCTACTTGCATTTGGTCTTTTTTAAATATGGAGATAATGCACTATATTCAAGTTCAAAGGTCAATTAAAACAATACATGTACTATCAGTACCAGAACAAACGCAATCCAGGAAAAAAAACAACTTTTTTTGTAGTTTGAAGGTACTATATTTGAGATTAAAAAGAGAAATAAACCAAGTACATATAATTATACAGATACAATAAAGATATATAAACTTAGTGTCTATCAAATTAAAAAAATTAATTGTATCTTTTTGTACTAAAAGCAATATGAGCTGTGATGTTGGAATTTTTTGATGCAAAATTATAAATCACTATTTCAATGACAGATGAATGTTTATAAATTAAACTTCTGTTGTTCATAGTTGCGATGTAAGAACTATTTTGATATAAGTTTTGTTTGAATCAAACTTAAATTATTGTCATCCTTTTCAATAATGAATTCTTATATAATACTGTATACTCGATCGTCTTTCTTCGGAAACAATTTATTGCTTTATTTTGGTCTAATTGATCAAAAAGATTTGAATTATATACGAACTTATCATAATAACGCATTTTAAGAGCAAAATAAAATTTTTAAAATGCAGCTCTAATTGCTTTAAACTGCATGCATACAGATGAAAATTATTTTACTAAAGTACATGTACTTAGGGATATAGTTTTATTTAAACATTTTGTTTCGTTTGATAGCAGCAAAGAGCTAAATCTTTCTAATTTAAGCAAATAATATACAACTCAGTTTTGATTGTATTTTGTGTATTCTTTTTTCTCTGAAGGTTTTTCCCTTGACAGTGGATATTTCAACGGAACTAAATTCTTTTATGTCGCGGGAAGACCGGGTTTTGCAAACAAAGCAGGGAATATCGGAAATGTAAGAACTGTACACGACATTGATTTTTTTTCCTTTTCAATATTGTTTGCCCTAAAATGGTATTGATTCCATGCAGTGAATAAAAAAAAAATTATGTTATTGATCAAACGATGGATTTGGGCTAATGTGTCAGAAAATATCGAAGAATCACAAATTTTACACATAATAAATAAGTGTTGCTCAACCATAAACATAAAAGATTAATTTCCAGGAATGTTTTAATTAAAAACTATTCATCTTACTTTCAATAAAGGTAGAGATTCTTGAATTTTTTGAAGCTGGTAAAAAGAATACAAAGAAGCTTATAGCTGGCAAACAGGTAAATGTTCTAGATGGTAAAAAATCTGTATAAACTAAACAGCCAAAGACAAACTATTCATAAGTTATACTCCATTCTATCTCAGACTAATAGCAAATCTTTCACGAGATGAAGTCGACGTTTTAGTATATGTAAAAAAAAATTAATGATTTTGTTCAAAAAAGTTTAACATAAAACCCCCCAGACATTTAATCGCATTTTTTTTATTTCCTAAAAGAAAATATGAATTAGGAATTGATTATGAAATTTTAGGTCTTTTTTCATTTTTATAACTTATACCATTAGCTTGGTGGTGGATTTGGTTATTCGGTGTGTGTGGCGGACGTAAATGGAGACAGGATAGACGATGTTCTGATTGGTGCTCCTTTGGAGTATGTCAACCAAACAAGTGGAAGCATTATTGTGGATAGTGGTTCTGTTTATATTTACCTCGGAACAGGATCGAAGGTTTCTATATTACATGTATAAATTTGACACCCTGGGCACATCAAAAAAAATTATTCTCGTTTTTATAATAACCCTATGAGTCTTTATTATTCTACAGTTAATTTTTGTTAAAGAAGATAAAAAAAATCCTCAAATTTATTTTTAAATGGGATGTTAATTTTTTTTCACGAATAAACAGATACGATAAAAAAAAATCATTACTCTTCTTTCAATACATGTGTTGATTTTTATGACTTATTCAAAATTATCTTTAGGATATAATCAAAGACAACCATTTAATGATTAATGGTATGAGCAAACCATGGGCCCGATTTGGAACTGCAATTGTAAATCTGAGAGATATTTCAAATGATGGAATTTCAGGTTAGTTTTAACTTGATAACTTTCCTATGGAAAAGTTATAGCAATAATCATTTACACGTGTTAACACTTCAATAGTATCAATTTAAAAAAAAAAACTCTGCATGACGTGTAGTTGAGAATACATCGAACATCTTGTTTGACAAATTTTGTTTTCGAGGGGAAGACATTGCTTTTCCTATGTACATGTATATTATGGGATAGGTGGAATTTCTTTCTGAATGTTATGAATCTTCATATCATGTGAAGCTGCTGGTGATTTCATTCAGTGCAATCAACATATTTCGAAAATCAAAAAGGGTTGAATTTTTTTAAATGCTGGATCTTTTTGAAAAAAAAAAACATATGCATGCTGGATCTTTAAAAAAAACCTTTTACAAAATGTGTTCTGTTTTAAAACCAGATATTGCCATTGGGGCGCCTTTTGAAGATAACCATAGAGGAGCTGTATACATATACAATGGAAAAACTGGCGACTTCACTGACTCTTGGGAATATTCACAAAGAGTATCGCCGGAAGATTTAAAGTTAGGAATCCGCGCATTTGGCTTTTCTCTATCCAGATCACATGTAGATATTGACGACAACTTATATATGGGTATTTATTAAATTCATTTAGGATTGTTGACTGGTTATTTCTTTATAATGAAATAATATGAGAGGTTAATGTGCTTAAAAAATACGGTATTTTTTTTTCTAGTTTTTTATTTTATTTTATTTTTTTTATCATTCTTTTAAAATGAAATTAAATAACAATCTGTATGCTCTGTTAGTATGCCCTTATTAAAAAACAACATTTGTATTTGACCAAATAAAATCTGTTAGGTTATCCATGTAGTAAGTTATAATTCTTTATTTCATAAAATACTAAATTATTAGAAATACTTGCAGTGTATATATTTGTATAGATTTGGCCGTCTCTGGGTTTAAAACTGACCAAGTGGCTATTCTTCGGACACGTCCAGTAGTCCATGTCGAGGTAGATATTTCCTCCACTCCAGAAAGCATTCCTATCAACTCCACTGGTTATGACTGTAACGATGGCAACGACTATCCATGCGTGGCACTGCATTTACGTTTCCTGGTAACCGGAAAAGGAATAGAAAATGGCGTCTGTAAGTGGTGGACTGACCTACATGTATAAACATTTAGAAAGTGAACATAAGAATTTAAAAAACATAGGGGTTTTTTTTTAATCAGGAATGATTTTCCACAAATACTGTATATCACTAAATTTTCGCGACACCATATTCTCGCGAGATATTCATTAACTCTTTTCACTGTATCAGCGAGACATAATTTTCACGAAATATTCCTTTATTTAATCGTAAGGAATATTGTTCTACGAGAGAATAATTTTTTTTCATATTAAGCTCATTGTCTCGCTTTATTACGCATAAATAAAGTTCTCGCGAATAAAAAGTGATTTGCAGTATTTTCTTTTATTTTAATGTGACAAAATATCATTTTATAATCGTTTTCAAACTTTTATCCATATATACGTGTATTGGGTTCTCTTTTCCGAAATGAAAGCAAAATTGATTTTTGTGATTATTCAAGTGTTTTACATTAATGTGATTATTCAAATGTTTTACATTTATGTTATAATTTTCTTCATGCAGATATGAACTACACTCTTTTAAGTGATGTGTTCTCTGACACCCCAAGGTTTTTACTTCGACAAAATAACAGTGTTTTCGGGAATTTTAACAATTCACAGGAATCTCAAACGATTTTGCTGAAACCAAACATGGAGACGATTGTTGATATTAACTTGACATCAGATGTAAGTTTTACTAAATATAGCCATCAGACTTTACAACAAAGTAGTAAATTTCAGTGAAACATTCTTAAAAATATAATAAAACAACTTCAATTGTTTTAAATCTAAACATCACAGAAACAGGGAGATAACATTTTGTGAAATTATATCAAGAGGTTTCTAGTTTTAAAAAATGAAAAAAAAATTTTTCCGATAGCAGCAACAAAGAATTTAAAGAAAAAAATGAATGCTTACAGATTATAAATATTTTTTAAGGTCATTGACTATAGGTTCTTCCAATCCCTGGCTGATCCAGTGAATGTCCATTTGATGTTTTCTTTAGCTGACTTAACCGTAAATGAGGATGTTCCACCAATTCTACATTCAGACGTCATTACTGACCGCTACAAGACGGTTAGTGTTGTAAAATAATAGTGTACACAGTGTTATGTCCTCCCATGTTATTTTCACCCTTTTGCCCTTGCGATCAATTTGGCCCCGTTTTAATTCGCCCCGTTGTAAAATCGCCCATTTATGAAAAGGGCGAAAGGGGCTAAAATAAAACGTTGGCGGAAAAATCCCTGTATATTTTAACATACGCTATTTTACCGTTTTTTGTTTTAATTTAACAAATTCTTTGATTATTGTATGTTAATTTTAAGGCAAAATTTTTGTCAAACGGTTATTTGGTTGTATTAGATATGATAAATTTTTTCGATAAATATCTTTATAGTTTACAAATACGAATTCCCGAATAAAAGAAAATCAAAAGAATTTATTATAATTTTACTTTAATTTACAGCTAAATATCAATACAAATTGCTCATCTTATCCTTGCAAGCCAGACTTCGTAGCACAGATGCGCTCAATGGAAAACAACATGACATTACAAAGAAACCAGGAATTAGAAGTACTAATGTACTTGACGAATGCTGGAGACCCGGCAACTAAAACAGATTTTTACGTAGAAACCTTCCCAAAGATGGACTTTTATAGAATTACAGAGGGCACCAAGTACCTCAGTTGCTCTGTTCTCTACTTTGGTGTTTTGCACTGTGTTGTTCACTCCGTGACTAGTACAGAAAGGTTTTATGCTCATCAAAAATATAAGTTTATGTTAAAATTTTTCGTTGACCCTGATGCAGCTGTGGCCAGAAAGGCGGATCACGTGAAAATTGAAGTTACGTTCAATTCAACTATGCAAGATGAAACCATGCCATCGAAAACCTTTGAGATGATAAGTTATTTTAACCTTCAATCTGACGTAAGGGTTATTGGGTAAGTGTAAAGGTTTTGAGACATCCCTCTAATATTAAAGTTTGGATGACACCTATTTCAAAAAATATGTATTTCACAATTTCTGTTCTTTTGAAAACAGATTGAAAATCACAAATTTTTTAAAGACAATTATGATCATTTATATATGTGTTTAAAGGAGACAAAAAAGGTAATATTTAAAAAATACTTATTGCCAAACCGCAATGAATAAAGAACCGGGGTATAAGTCGAACAGTGAACTTAAATTTTTGATCTTTAAATGCTTCTTGTATTTAAAACCTTTATTAGAAAATTTAAACATTATTTCCATTTCATTATCCTTTCTATAGAGGATCGGACCTTTCAGACCTAATCATTGCTTCCACGACCGAGACTGTATTCAAATACTCTGTTACGTATGACGTCCACAACGACGGACCTAGTCCACTAGGAGCAAATCTTAATATAACCATAGCTAGCAGCAGAGGGAGCAACACCATTCTAAAGGTAACAGCTGGAAAATGCTACAAAGTGATTATTGTTATAAGAGCACACGGCAGATATGACCGGTCGGCAGAGGATGCTCACTCCTACATGGCACCTGATCCCACCTCTAATGTTCTGGAGGTCTATGTTTGCTCTGCTCCAGTTAGGTATTAATTTATGGACTTTTGAGTTTGAATACCGTTCTTTTTCTCCATATATTTCATTAAAGAAATATGTATTCTCTTCATCCTAATGCAGTAATCTTCAAAATGGTCTTGACTTCTCGTGTCTATTTTTCTCTTCTTGAGTACCAATACTTGCTCTATAGAGCTTATGCAAAACTTTAAGATCTTTGTTAGCGAATAAAACGACACATCGAATGGTAAACGTTGGACATAATGCATGTCAGACTGTTGGTATGATTATAAATAAGGGTAAATTCATAACCTTAGGACCAACGGATCTGGTAAAAAGGTGGGTCTATATTGATCACATGATGAAAAATTATTTATCATGTTTATTATTATAAAATTATATTCCTTTGTTCATAATTATGATTAGCAATTACATGTACACGTATGCGTCTTCTTAAGTTGGAGAAAAGTTGCTTCTAGGTGAGGGGCCCTAAGAGGGGACTATATTGATCTTATAAAGAAGAACCATTATTAAAGGTGGGTCTATATTGATCACATAATGAAAAATTATTTATCATGTTTATTATTATAAAATTATATTCCTTTGTTCATATTTATGATTAGCAATTACATGTACACGTCAGTTGGTCTTCTAGGTGAGGGGCCCTGCTATATTGATCTTATAAAGAAGAACCATTATTTCATGTAATATATGGAACAATATATATTAACTATTTTGAAGTTGTTGACTACGGTTTCAGTGGTATAGTGATAAATTTTTGACACCATGAAAACTGTGAAAACTTTTATTATAATGATAACTTTGACACTTTGATTTTACTATAGTCATGACTTTGACACTGTGATTTAAAACTAATAGTAATAATTTTGACACTTTGATTTACTAAAGTGATAAATATGATAACTTTGATTTACTATAGTGATAACTATGACACTATAGTGATCAATTTACTATAGTGATCACTTCGACACTAAGGTGATCACACGGAAAACTTTCATTTACTGTAGTGACATATATTTACTTTTACGCTTTGAATAATATAGATAACTATAGTTGCAAAAGAGAGTCATAAAAGAATTTCACTGTGAATTATATTTTATGAAAAAATCACTACATTGCGATTTTTTTCAAATGTCTGATTTTGAAAAGATGTCAGGTTTTCAAAAATATCTTTGGCCAATTCTATTTTAGATAGACAGGAAACGTAACTTTATGTCTACGTGTCCTCACGTTATATATGATTCAGATGATGACACATTTTTTAAGAGTTTCGATTTATTAAATTTCATTTTTCCTTATTCAAATATAGTTTTTAAATTTTGTATATTTTCACATATGGCATTCACACATACTAATGAAATCAATGCAATAAAAATATGTTTCAATACTTACTTTTATCTTTCAGTACAGATGATACAAACTGATTTTTATAAAACAATCTGGAAAACAACAACTTAGGTCAAATAAATAAGTTTCACCGCATAAATTTTTATTCTATATTCAAAATTTTAACAATAATATGATGAAAAGTATAAAAAAAATTATAGAGATTAATAATGATGGTTACGGAAAGCTAGCATTTCGATCATCATAGAAGGTTAACGATTTTAGAAATTTATTATCTGCATCACTTACAATTTATTATCTGCATCACTTACAATTTATTATCTGCATCACTTACAATCAAATTGGGTCCGAAAATATATAACAACCCAGGCAACCATTTTTTTGTTTATTATCTGTCCTTAATCTTTCAGGATATAATGGTTAAGAGGGGAAACTGTACTGCAGAGACGAAGATCGACATAAAACTTTTAGGAGAACCTAGCAATTTGATATCACAACCTCTGAAAGATAGCAACAACAAAGAACAACCGTCAACAGATATTGTATGCTCCTCTAGGTTTTATATACATGTATAGATAATCCTAATTATTAAAAGTTAATTAAACCCATCTTCTCATACTCTGCTTCACGCCTCACATATAAAGAGATTTCTAACAAGAGGGGAGAGGACCAAAAAAATTCACTTGTAAAGATAAACTGGAGAATATTTTGCAATTCATAACCAAAAAAAAATTAATGTATTGCCAATAAACCATTTTCAATTACCCTCCCTCCGTGATTTAGAAAATCAGAAAAAAAGACTAAGCTATAAACTTCATTCTACTCCTTTAGTTGTTTAATTGAAAAACGACTTTAACTGGTTATATTTTACCAGCATTGCTTTAGATATTACAAGCATCAAGAACTTTTTTTATGATAAGACATGCTTTTCTATATTGGTCTTTAGATTTGTGGACTTTCAGGAATCAGTTGTACTTACTTGATTTGTGATCTTGGGTTCATCAAAGCAGCTGAATTTGAAAGCGTGGAATTAACGATGGATCTCGATTCCAACTCGTTCTCAAATATTCTAAAGGTATAATATATCTTCAATTTTTGACAAAATACACCGCTGTTTGAAAAACATCGCTCTTGGTCTCTCTTGAAACGGTTGAAATATATTTTTTTTATACCCTCATGATTCCAATAGACTAGTTACATTTACTGAATTCGGCATGTAAAGTTTGTCAGTTCTATGTTTAAAAAATGATTTGTCTTTAATGTTTAAAATTTGTTTGCAGGACTTAAATACTAACGCTGCACGATTTGTCACCCCTGGAGAGCTGAGTTTGTACAACAACAAAATACCGGCTTCTATAAATGTTACAGATAAAGGAAAGGTGTGTAAACCAAACGCATAAACAAACTATTAATGATTATTGTATAGACCAGATAGAACAATACAGTACATACATGCACATTCTTTTTGTTATTAATTTTTTAACTTAGTTTTTGTTAAAATCATTATACCGGTATATAAATATGGGATGTTAGCATTGTGATATCATCTAAATATAGTGCGTGTTAAACGATTCCATTTATTCAATTGCTAATACTGTAATGACTTGAGTTCTAACAACCATTTACATACCTATAGATAGCTTTTGGGTTTTATTTACAATAAACCAGGAACTCTGTTGTCTCCATGTTCATGACAGGAATTACAATCTCTGTTACCTATTTCAGGTAGCATTAAGAGTCTCTTTAGGCGCTTCCGGTGTGACGTCATCGGACCTTCTTTGGTATGCTATAGGCGGCAGTGCTGGGGGATTCGTGTTTCTTGTAATCATTGCACTTATTCTATGGAGGGTAAGAAGAATCTACAGTTTCTTAAAACCTTGTTTTGGTTTTGGTCATGTATATTACTAGTATTCACTTAGAACTGTCATACAAAAAGTAAATTCATTGAGGGGTGGAAAACGACCTTTTTTCAATGAAAAAAAAACATGAAGTTAAACTTGCAAAACTTATTCTTGAACAATCCTTAAAGTCAGATTCAGCTTAGTGTATGCCTATATTTCAATTTATCTTAGTTATCACGACACCTTTGCATATTGTTGCATTGTGGTCAATATAAGGAATGTGTTTTAGCAAGAAAATACTTTATTTATGCTTAATTCAGTAGAATAAATGCCTGAAAGCCTTGGAGGCTGTTATTTACATGTATGTACTCGTCGTATTCAAAGTAACATTTACTTCAAGTATTTATAACACATAAATGAAATATAAGATCTAGAAGATAACGAATAGTATTCGTGCCCAAAATTCCATAAAAGTACAAATTAGGAGCAGAGCAAATAGGTACCTCCAAAACATCAGAGGTGGGACCAGCTGCGCAATGGAAGAGTGAGCATCTCACAATTATGAATATATAAAAAGCTTACAGAAAGAGTTTCAGCACATTATACAACAGTTACAATGCATTGACTTGGCTTTGATATACATTTAGCAAATCTAAATAAGGGCTATTTCCTTTTACATGTACAAAGTAAAAACATTGAATTTTTTTTTTGAAGAATCAATAATAATCAAGTAAAGTCAAGGAAAACAAATTAATATTAAAATTGTACATACATTGGTATTTTGGTTCCGGTGTTATACATGTTAAATAATGTAAACATGTACATGATGATATTTTTAGTGTGGGTTCTTTAACCGGAAGAAAAGGGGTGAAATCGACAGAGCCAAAAGACAGTCCCAAATGAAACAGAGACAGAGTAGGATGATGTCACAGTTCGTCAGCAAGGAGCTGAGTAAAGGTCACGACTCATCGATTAATGGCACTGACCGAAATTCTCAGGGTTATACACTCGGTACAAAGAAAGACTATCCAGATTTAGACGTTCAAGACAGATAACAGACGAGATCTTAAATATAAAGGGCTCTCAATTTGCATGAAAGAATTTTGAATTTTGAAATGAGCTCACATTCTGCTGACAATACTCATTGACGCCAGTTGTAATGAAAATCGACTATAGTGGGAATGAACATTCCTTTCATCACCGGTGAATGATGTTTTTTTTTATACCAGGATGTATGTGAGTTTGAGTATGTGCAATGTGTGTTTGTTGATAAAAGTATGTATTGTGTAGAAATGAGTCCTTAGTTTTCCTTTTTTTTTAGTTTTGATAATAAAACAAAATCTTTTATTTATACAAAAGTTTATTCTAAAACAACTACATGTACTACAACAAAAACAATTTACCTGTGAAAGGTAAAATCTTAAACCAAGTAAAATCGTGATTATTTTCTGTTTTGTTTGAAGCGTCAGATAATGTACATGTATATTACATGTAAGGTTATGAAAGCAGAGGAAATATATGCTGTAAGGAAAACTACAAATGATTTATTCATTTGTGGGTAAATATTTAATCATTGTTAATGCGATTCTTTTTTGTGAATGCATGAAGAATAATTTTTTTCATCTCATATTTCATTGATCAAAACATTTTTACTGGAGAGATTAATCATGATTTTGAATTTCTTACATGTAGTCAAGCACAATGTACATGTTCATGTTTCAAATACATTTTTAACAGCTCTAAATGTTTAATATCTGAAGCATTCCTTTTCCATGAATCTTTTCCCAAATTAAGCCATGCTTGTAAAAAGGAAAAATTTAAGTTATAGGAGTACATTTTACATTTAGTTGAAAAATATGCAATTATGCATGCCATATATTTTTTGTGAAACCTACATACATGTATAGTTTTTTTTTGTTTGGGTTATTGCCAAGTGTAGTGAGGGTCTGGAATTGTAGAATTATAATGAGTCTTATTTGTTTTTATATACTAGTATATATGAAGTGCTTTGCCAAAATGTTTTTTGTTTTCTTAGTTTCCTTGTTCATGTGTGCAGTAGGAAAAAAATACATATATCCTACGTTTTCAGTGGACTACAACATTTATACAAGACTCGATTATTAAAAATTTTTTGAAGTGAATTGACTTACCTTTTTTAGCTCTTCTGAGCCAAAGGCTCAAAGAGCTAATGCTATGGCCATTTGTGCGGTGTGCGTTAACTTTTTAGAAAATGGGCCATAACTCAAGAACGCCTTGGCCAATCAGTGTCAAATTTGTCACAGGGTATCCTTGGCCCAAGGGCTACCATTTATACTAAAATAAGGGTTGGGACCCTTAAACAAGGGGAGATAATCAGGAAAACAAAACCAAAAGTACTGGTTGCTAAAAAATCTTCTTCTCCAGAACCACCAGGCAGATTTTCACTAAACTTACACACAAGGATCAGAATATGTTGAAGATTAAAAATTGTTCAAGGCATGAGCCTGGGGCAAAGGGCGTGGTCTCAAGGTCACTTCAAAGTTGACCTAAATTTACAATTGATAAAAACGTTTATATTTTGCTTATTATAAGGACTAGGATCATCAAATCTTGTACGTTGATGCATCTTAACACTTCACATCATGTTAAATCAAAAGTAGGTCACAGTGACTTACTTTTTTTTAATTTTGCGGGCATTTGTTTTCAAATTGATTTGAAGGCATATTTTGGACACTTTAAGGCCTATGATCATCAAACTTTGTTAGTTGATGCATCTTGGGTCCTTGAACAACGTCAGCTTAAAAGTAGGTCACCTTGACCTACTTTTTGAACTTTATGACATACTTTTTAAAACATTTCATCCCATTATTGCAGACACTGAGAGGGTTAGAATCATCAAATCTTGTAAATTGCTGCATCTTGGGACCTTAAAACATATTTATGAAAAAGTAGGTCACTGTGACCTACATTTTGAATTTTGCAGGCAATTGTTTTCATATTGTTTAAAAGGCATATTTTGATTACCTTCAGACCTACGATCAACAAGCAGATGCATCTTGGTACTTTGAAAAATGTTGACTAAAATGTAGGTCACGGTGACCTACTTTTGACATTTTATGGCTTTATTTAAGTATCTTCGGTATTTATTGGCTAAGAATCATCAAACTTTGTGAGTTGATGCATCTTGGGTTTTCGGAGAGTGATGACCAAAAAGTAGATCACAGTGACCTACTTTTGACATTTTATAGCTTTATTTAAGTATCTTAGGTATTTATAAGCTTAGAATCACCAAACTTTGTGAGTTGATGCATCTTGGGTTTTCGGGGAGTGACGACCAAAAAGTAGGTCATGGTGACCTACTTTTGACATTTTATAGCTTTATTTAAGCATCTTAGGTATTTATAAGCTTAGAATCATCAAACTTTGTGGGTTGATGCATCTTGGGTTTTCGGAGAGTGATGACCAAAAAGTAGGTCATGGTGACCTACTTTTGAATATCTCGGATACATATTGGCTGAGAATCATCAAACTTTGTCAGTTGATGTATTTTGGGCTTTCGAAAATCGCCTACTAAAAATTAGGTCACAGTGACCTACTTTTAACATTTTATGGCTATAATTAAGTATCTCCAGTACTTATTGGCTTGGAATAATCAAACTTTGTCAGTTGATGCATTTTGGTTTTTCCAAGAATGTAGATGAAAAAGTAGGTCAAAGTGACTTACTTTTGACTATCTCACATACTTATTGGCTTAGAATCTTCAATCTTTGTCTATTAATGCATCTTGAGTCCTCAGAAAACTTCAATCTTAAAGTAGGTCATTGTGACCGACTTACATGTATGGTTTTTTTTTTATAGCTTTATTAAAATATCTTCAGTTATAATTGGCTAAGAATCATCAAACTTTGTCAGTTGATGCAACTTGGCTCTTAGAATACTTAGGGTTAGAGGCTTCAATTAGAAGTGATAGGTTGTACAATTTATCAGAAGAGCGATTCAAGGCCCTTGGGCCTCTTGTTTCAATTATAATAACTACACTACCTGCAAAATGTTACCAAATCTCTTGTCAAATAAGCTAGGAGAGCACATTTTCATATGAAGATCGTCATGTACAAGATTTCAGAGATAGCTTTGGTTCTACGAATTGTTAGGAACAATTACATGTATTTGACAGAAAAAATCAAGTTAGCGGTGAGCCAAAACTAGCTACATCCTAAATTTGGTCCCCCAAAAATGAAAGGTTTGATTTGTCTCTTTATTCAGATTAAAGCCATATATTGTTCAACATTCCATGTAACGATTTAAGGCTTTATTACGCGCCTTGAAAATACTTACAAAATAAAAGAAAACTCATGTTGTCTATCATATGCAACATTCTGTGGTTTAAAAAAACTGCAAAATAAAATAATTTAAAAAGATGACATGTTTTTGCAAAAGTTTTATTTCGTGTAATTAAGCGCCCTTAAATCTTATTAAATGCAGTTTAAAAACTATGCAAAGATATACAAAATGTATACAACACACATTAATTTAAGGCATAATGAACAGCAGTTATAAATTCTAAATATTGATTGAGTACCAAAAATAATAATTATTACATTTATATATTTGTAGATAAGTAAACATTAAAACTATCAGATGTTTTTCTCTTTTTATCACTACCATGTTCGATCATTCATCAACCTCTATATGGAAAATATTTATTAAACATGTACTTCACCTGTATATTTGTACATTAAAACAGTTACAATGTATCTTATTTCTAATTAATGAGACAAATGATTATTGAAAACAAATATATTTCTGGATAAGAATAATATACTTGCAAGAAACATCCGCATGTTTTGCAATTTTCTGTTTCTTGCAAATATTTGTCTGATTGATTATCTTTGAAAAACAAAGTCATGTTTTACCGAAGTCGAAAAAATTGATAGTTGTTGATTAATTTCAAAATGACGAATCCTGAACAATAGATATTTTGATTTATCACAGGATGACCTATCGATAACTCTGTTTTGCACTTTGTAAATTTATGTTCAATTCGAAAGATTTGAAAAATATTTTTGTTTTTGTTTGTTTGTTTATTGGGAGGGGTATACGGGCCTATATCAAGCCTTTATATCAGAAAAAATTGGAAAACAGGTTGATTAATCTTGTTTTAGATTTGCATGAGATACATAACCTTGTAAAAATAAACAATGAAATTTTACACAAACAAATTTATTTGCATTGTTCAAAATCACATAAAAGAGATAATTAAATTTCCTCTCATGGAAAACAGGTTGATTAATCTTGTTTTAGTTTGTTCAACGTAATCCTTGTTGAAATCCATGATTAATCCATAACCTATTATAATGTTAACCAACAATCATGCTCGACTTTTATTTGCATTGAAAAAAAAGATTCATAAACTTTCCTATATATAAACGTTTTAATCATCAACCATAAAAACTCTTACGAAAATCGCGAACTTTGAGATTTGCATGAATTGATACATAACTTATAATTGCATTGTACCGAATGTATTCCTTATATTTCTTCGAATAAAAAAGAATATCTTTTTGTAAATGTACAATAAACACAATAGCGAATTTTAAATCAAAGTTTTTCAATATTTCAAGAATTTAAAGGATACGTATTTTCGTTAAATTAACACTGAACTTGTGATGAAAATTTATTAAATGAAAGTCAATAAAAAGTCTCGGTACACGTTGGACACACCGACACACACGTTTCAGTAAGTTGTGGTATTCTCGACTTAAGCATATGTCAAAAATAAGCATTAAAAATAATTCTTGTTTAAACAATATAAATCACTAGCAAATTTACACAGCCTTTCATTCACTGTCACTTGTATACGTGTGATAGGTATCCGGCCGAATGTCATCGAGAGTAGCAAAGAACTAATAACAAGGTCTTGTACGGCAAAGAGGTTGGGCTAAAGTCGTCTCATCGTTGTCAAAAACAAATCAAAGTTGCTGAATCAGATGTTACTTATTTCTTAACCATTGAGAATCTATTCGCCATGTGACAGACACTAATTATATTAGCGTAGCATCTAAAAAAAATGGCTTAAATCATGGAGAGTGTGTTATGGCGAGAATGCCACGTGTCCTTGCTGACATTTTATTTATAATGCTACGATGTTTTTCTTGCTGACATGTCCAAGGTTAACTGAGAATTGTACTTGTAAAAGCCTTGAAGACCCATACCTTGAAATAATATCTAATCATTTTCATTTTCAAGACCTGTACGTGTTTATACATAAATATTTTAGGCATTGTGCAAATTACTACGATGAGTATAACTTAAAGGCTAGTTGTTACTTATTTCGTTGTTTTCAATATCAATTCACTATCGTTGCATATCAACAAAAATTACGGCGAGTAATTGTGTATAATTGGAATCCTTATACATTGTTAGTAACTCATCCAACATTGCCATACATCTAAAATTCAAACCGTTGTTTGGACCACTGCAAAAAAAAATAAAATAAAAAAAAAAAAAAGGCTATTATTAGTTGTTTTCGTCAAAAATACGGCGAGTTTTTATTCATGAATCATCCAACATATCATCAAAATAAAAACCGGATCAAATAAAAAATATTATAGCTCAATTGCACAATTGTTAAAAAAAAAAAGTCATTTTATCAGATGCCAGTAGTGAATTAAACAATTGTAAACGTGCTAACTACCACCAAGTTTCATTCAAAGGTCAGTTTATATCATTAATATCCACCTGTAATCTTTGAAAAACTAACCGTTATTGACATTTGTTCTCTTTTAGAATTAACAGGAATGAAGTGCAAATCAATAGTTCAATCATAGGTTCCCTCAAAGCTTATTTAAAAAAATGTTCATTTCAAGATACTATTTTGCTAACATGAATATCGACAGAAAATTATAGTGTACCAAATTAAAAAGGTTTTATAAATTTTAAAAGTATATATGGACACCATACATATAATCAGTCACCCTTGGCCATGCATATATTCTTTTGTTGTAAGGAAATTGTCTCTACATACTATAAAGTGAAAATTAGTAACTTATTTAATTTTGACGTTGCTCCGTGACCCCATTTTCGCTGTTCTAAATCTTTGATAATTTTTATAAATATGAAGATATAATCCATTTTATTTACTCAGATTATTTGTTGTTAAAATATGTGCACTAAATTTGGATATGATTTGACGTTAAATTAAAAAGGTAGGACAAAAGTCTACGAACATTTTGAATTACCCACGTATTCAAAAGCAATTCCTAATTGTATTCAAAAGCGATTTCAAAGTTCCACGATTATATTTGTATCTACTCTTAATGAAGAGCAACAGTAAAAACTATGATTTTACAACAAATCGGTTTCAAAAATCTGTTTACTTATGTCTTCTCGATTCTTTTTATTCAATTTGGAAATAGTTCAAGTTATTTCGTGTAGAATTATGATAGAGATACAAACATCTGGATCCAATTTCGTTAAATTAGCAGTGCTTAAATCACAATGTCTTGAAGAATTATTATAATTATTGTATAGTACAACATCATATACAGTGGAGTTCAACGTATACGCATGATCTTAAAATTGATTGATTGTATATTGTTTAACGTCCCTCTCGAGAATTTTTAACTCATATGGAGACGCCGCTATTTGCAGGTGGAGAGCTGCAAATTTTGTCCTATACTCGGCACTCAGGACCATTGAGCAGGAAGGGATCTTTTTCGTGCCGGCATCTTTTGCGACACGAAGCTCCACTGGCATGTGGTGGTGTCTCCATACGAGGGAAAAACTTTCGAGAGGAAGATTAAACACAAACAAACAGACAAACAAACAAACAAACAAACAATAAAGACTCTAACCTTTGGTAGTGTCAGAATTACAATCATGTGTTGTAACCGTCTCCCTCTCATATCTCCTATCCTCTTTGACTGTCCTTTTCCAGCATCGACAGGCGCATGCTATGAGAACTATAAAAAGAACTACACCGGACAAGGCAAACACAATTTTGACGATATTCATCCGCCCGACTTTAGATTAAAAAGGAAAGTGAAAGTAAAATCTGGGTTGAATAGTTCATATGAGAATCCAATTCCAGTTCTCCATATGGTAAAGATTATTTTTCTAATGAAAAACACATTGACTTTTTTATGTTTTTATATTAGTACTTCTGAATAAACTTCTGAATAGACATAACTGAATAATTTTTCACAATAAAACAAGAATAAGACAATTATCACTCTCATTAACACCTTGTGATTAAACCGCAGTCTGTGGCGTATAATATTCTTGATAATTATTATGAAATGGTATTTCATATCAAAATTTTGTATACATTTCAGCAAAAATATTTTCAACGATGTAATCGATCATTTAAGGTAAAAGCTTGCTGTATATATTCCGTTTCGCTGAGAAAAATAGATGGTATAAAACTCAAGTTGGCGCATAAGGTGCGTATAGAGTTGAAGAAAAACAATCATTTGTTCATTTGGTTTTTCTATGTTGGTTGCTTTTTTAGCTCTCCTGAGCAGATTTAGAATGCTCTTCCGATGAAATTGGCTTGTAAACTCATAGGGAATGTTACCATACTTTATTATACCCCCTGCTTGAAAAGTGGGAGAGTATACTATATCGGTATGTCCGTCCGTCCGTCTGTCCGTTACGCTTTAGGGTACCCATGTCTTATCCGCAACTCCTCTTACATCACTGATTGAAATTTAATGAAACTTTCACAGAATCTTTATTACATATTGCCATTGTGTACCTCCTATTTTACTTTTTTATCCGACACATATTTTGGGTTTCCCCGCCACAGCAAATCATGGACTTTTTCATCAGCTATAACCATATGGGAGGCGGGGGTATCATTTAGTGAGCTCATTGCTCACAGTACCTCTAGTTCGATTTTACGTAATCACGATATTTACAAAATGTGACTGATACTTAAATATTAGTGTCAGAGAGAAAAGAAGACTTTTAAAGATAAATTTCTTTATATTTAATTACAAGATTTAATCATTTTCATGATTACTAGTTTATCTTTTCATTTCATCTGCTTGGTTTTACATTTATTGTATATCATATATTTTTACCACATAATATAGTTTATATGATGAATGAACCGACAAACTACGTGTATAACAATTTATTTACATTCTTCAAAGAAGCATACTATAAGTTGAGGCTTTCTATAGATTTAATAGTTTTTTAACAAAACGCTTTTACTCCAACATCTAGCTAACCAGAACATCCCTTCCGAATGGACACGGACCCATCATCTTTCCGGATCACCTTACAATGACAGTTGTTATGGAGAGTGCCCTGGACATACAATGGCCACCCAGTGTCCGTCTCATTACGGCATATTCCATTGGCGTCCTCGCATTCTAGAAAAAAAGATAATAGTACGATTCTCAGTTATCCTTGGACTTTCAGTAGGGCGTGACTTTCTGGACACACTATCTTATTAACGTCTCTCAAATGGCGAATAGATTTTCATTGGTCAAGAAATAAGAACATCAACAAATTTAAATTGTTCACAACGATTAGACGACCCACCTCTCTGCCGTGCGGAACGTTATCATAGGATCATTGGTACACTGGTGGGTACAGTCGTTGACATTCGCCGGAATGTTATTTCAAAAGTGAACGAAAAGCTGTGTAAATTTCAAACGCTAATTATGTAATGTCGAGAATACCACGCCTTAATGAAAGTCCAAGGTTAAATGAGAATTGTACTATTCAGTTTGCTCAAAGATGATATGCTCAGCTTTCATTTCGCAGAATTTTTAACTTCTTTATTTTCTTTGCAGAAAAGAAGAGAACAAAGAATTATAAGTGATAATAATATTGTTTTTGATGCGATTAACTCTTAATGAACAAATAGTTATTTAAAATAATAATAATAACCAATCTATAAATTCGAAACATATGATGGAATGATCAAATTGTGAACTGTGAAACAGTATCTCCTGTTGTTTAAAGTTATCGCCCTTAAAATTATAAATAATATTAATTTATTGCAAATATAAACAGCTTTGTCAGATTCAATTTTAAGTAAAAACATCAAGAATTTTATGTTTATGAAGTTCTAGCGATTTCAATTGAAAAAAAAAATGCGTGATTTTTACATTGTAAATAATCAGAATTTTTCAGGGGTTATCTAAATTTTCAAGCATAATAATTTTTCTTGAACCAATTAGATCCAATAATTACACAGGGAATTTATGTAAATTACATATTTAAATTCGTTGATGATGCAATATTGAAAAATATCCATTTTTGAGTAAAAAAATCAAAATAAAAAAAATGATGTATGTGTTTGATTTTACTTCAGTTGCTCCATTGTTGCCATAAGAAAAGTGCATTAAACACAATCTATCTGAATGTATTTTTTTTTCAATTACTGATGGCGTAAGGACTGCTCGTTCAGTCAATCTAGCTCTATGATCATTTATCACTGTACATCAGGTACATATAATAGATAAAAACTTACTGATCGTGTCCAGTTCTAAGACTCTGTGGAATCCCCGATCGCTCTGGTCTATCACACAGCGTTTGGTGATACACTTATTGTCAGGGTCTGTGACGACACTTCCTTCCTCTAAACACGTACCATTGTAAGGGCAGCCTAGTTGAGCAGATATTTTAATAATAAATTATTTCAAAGAAAAAAATTAATTACAGTCACTTTTATTTTTTAAATGTACATTAATTGGAAGACATATCATTTTTAGGTATTTTACACCTATGTGCAAAATAAGTAACCTGGTGTCATGGAAACAAGACCAATTTTTATCACTTCCAATAAATTTTATAAATCGGGCTTATAATGTTACTATTTCACCAAGTTTCAACAAAATCCGCGAGAATCAATTTCTAGTCCATTTAGATGCTTCCAGAGAATGACTCAAACATTAATTAGGTTGTGTTGTATGAAGTTCATTGTCTCATAGATTTTAAGGTATTGCTATACATATGTATATAGAACACGTATAATAAAATGTTTGAATCTCTGCCATTTGGTTGACTTATATAAGACTGAAATTCCTCTGTGATCACTCTTAAAAAGTTACTAGAGTTGTCTATGATTTCTTGGTCATTCTACCGGAATTTAAGTTTCACCAAACGATAAAATTATGTCTTCAGATTGACAATATTGTATGAAAAAAGACCCAAGATAAAATTAAAATGGATGCTGAACATTATTTGTGTTAAAACGTCTAAAATGGAAATATTAGCTGGATATATAGCTGTCAAAATACATCAGACGTGAACAAAACAAATTGAGTTTTAATATACTTCACGTACCTTTCCAAATTATATTTTGTGTCGCCTTAATGGAAGTCCCATTCCTTGTGTTGACACACTGATATCGGACGCAGTTTTCCTCCCACGCACTTCCGGGAAAGTGACACACCCCCTTAGAATCGGTACAACCTGAAATTGGAGTCATTTTTTCTTTTGGGGAAATTATATATTATTCCTTCATTGACATTATTTATGTTCCCACGTTACATACCTAGCTCTGATACGCTGATAGTTCAGTGTACCCACGTGCGACATGGTCCTCCAATATGACACAAATCTGTTTTACATACATATATACCTTCATCAGATATCCCCCAATATGACATTTCTATTTTACATACCTAGCTCTGATACGCTGATAGTCCTGGTGTAACCACGTGGTCCCCCAATTTGACACTTCCGCTTAACACACCCCTCTTCCTCCCACTCCTCATCCTTCTTCCTACACTGGTCTTTGTATCGACACCCTTAAAACAAAACATTCATGGTGATCCCATATACTGTAAGCACTTAACTTAATAAACATTTATATTAGCTTTATAAATAATTAGATTAGAGCAAGAAACATGTATATTATACAGGCGTCGGAAACGGACGGCTAGGGGGGGGGGTGTTTAAATACACCCAGTTTTTGCAAATATAAACATAAAATGGCATTGACATTGGGGTTTAGTCAACAAATGTTTTGGGGGTCAGGTTTATCCCCCATTCTCCATTAGCCCCCACCTCACCCCAACTTTCAATTACCTTCAGACGCCGGCTAAGATACTACTGGAATACTACTAACCATATTCTATATCATAGTACTAACCATAAAACCTGTCCACTCTAATGGCGATGTACTTGGTGAACTGATAGGCGTGGCACCACATGTCGGCACACTCCTCAACATCCTGCCAGATCCGCCCCCGCCCCGGGGATTTACACTCACCCTTCCAGTAACATTTCCCTTGTTCTGTTATATAAAAAAAGGTGTCGAGATTCAGAATCGGTTAAACAGTATTTAAAAGTTTTACATTAAATTTTCAACATGATTATTCTGACCAAGAATTATATCATGAACTGATGTTGTAACACTTTTGTTTTATTTACTGCTTGAAATCAACAGATGGAAATGTACAGGTCTACATTATGAACAGTGAGTATATATGTATGCATGAAAAATTGAAAATCAACTTAAAGTATAGGTAGGTCATGTAAAAAATTATTGAATGGTGAATTTTAAAATTATTGTTTTTGTTTTAAAGACTGAGATTATGTTAACAGGTACACGCACATCCACTATAACCTACCTGTACACTCTTTAATTGCCGATGGATCCGCGCCTTGACCATTTGTCCACGTGACTATCAGACTCAGACACAAAAACTGGAACGTTTGTGACGTCATGTTTAAAATGATCTGATTTTTTGTTTACTTGTATAGATCTGCAAGATTGTCAATAAAATAACAAAATCAAATAAACACAAAAGATTTGAATACTCGCGATCGTGATATAAAATCGAATGAAACTGATAGGTAAAAATGCACAAATAATTAATTAATATCATTTTTAAAACAAATATTGAGGGTGAAACAAATTCATTTGAACCAGTAAAAGAAAAAGCTATCTCTGGGATCGGGTTTGTGAAAAGTATATACATGTAATATTGAACATGTTTGAATTATATTTATATTCTTTAAAAAACAAAACAATTTTCATGCAATTTTGATTTTATTTCAAGACAGCAAAAACGGAAATTTCATTGTCAATTGTATCCTGTTAAATTTTGAAGTAGATAATCTTAAGCTTTTATTCGTATAAATATCAATATTTTCAAATAAGTCATTATGTGCATAATTATACGCATTCGTTTTTCCTGATTCAAATTTAAAGTATTAAACGCGTTTTATAATATATGAAATATAATTACTGCCTATACTTTTATATACTTACATAACAGTTAGGTGTGAATATTCCCTTCTTTATAATTTTTCCTTCGTTTCTTTTTGACACCTTGAGATGAATATTGACCTGCTTGATGTATACGCGTGAGGCCATATTGAGTGCTAAATTGACAATTAAGATAAATTGTTAGCCGATATAAAAAAAACTGTAGTTATAAAAATCGGATTACCGAGGTGACTGTCTCAAAAAATGGCTTTCTAATGATTTCTTTCATTGCACAGGAGGTATATATAATAATTACTGTCCATATATCAACATAAAATTAAGTAACATTGAATAGGAAATTTTTTTTTTATCCCTGACTATTTCAAAACCTTCTAATACATGTAAAATAAATCATCGTAAAAAACAGCTGGTTACGTGACCGGGATGGATCTAAGATCTCGTCAAACGCACGGGGCGGGGATGGGGGGATGGGGGTTAGCTGCAGAACTGTAGCGTTATGGTTTTATATATTAGTCTTTGACCATAAAGCTATAATGCTACAGTTCTGAAGCGGGGGGGGGGGGGGGGGGGGGGGGGTTACCTCGCAAAGCCTCGGAAGAAATACAAAGCTTTAAACTTTTTTGTTGTTGTTTTTCTATAAAATAAATTGGGCGTACGATTCAGAAGACAAGGATTTAATTTTTGTTGTACGGGTATAATTAGCTTTTTATTCCACAAAAAAGGAACAGGATATTGTTAATTTTCCTCTTGATTGGCGTCCCAAAGCCGTGTACTCCCGGAAGCTTTTCAATTTTATTTTAATGCTTCTTGAAAATTTTGTGACCAATAAATAAAGATATACTTTGCTCACATTACATTTATAAAACGAGTTTAACATGTTTAATTAAGTAGTGGTCTTCTTATAAAGATAAAAGAATGCCCCGTTTTAACGAGTTAGTAAAAAGTAGTACAAGTCGGCTTTAAAGAATCGTGCAGTTTCAAGAGTTTACTTTTTAATTTTCTAATAATATTGGATTGTATCAATTTTATTTTTACTTTGAGGAGTTAGTCTAGATTCATATTTAACTTTTAGCACAGGGTGTCGCTTGCACTTAAAATATACAAGTAGATTCATTGAAATACCAGGTGTTCAGTGTACCAGGGACCTATAAAGGTCCCTGGGTGTACCAAAGAGAAAATAACCCTATCGATCATAATCAAAGAATATAATAGTATAGTTGATTCAATTAATATCAAATAAAGTCCAAATTCAAGTCACACCCAAATATACCACCTTGTAAAATAAGTAATGAATTTTACCAAAATAAAGAACATCGCATGCAGAGATAAACACAAATTATTTATCAACTGCCATGCGTCTTTATGAATTTCTTTGATCATGATAGAGATGCTATGGATGATCCCCTGTTTTTTTCTTTTAAACACAAAGTTGCAAGTATGCATGTGTTGCTTAAAACTATTGACAATTTAAGGAATGCAGAGCAAGCAAGACATCACTTAATATTGCAAGCTGATCCTTTCCAGGAATAGATAAACACTGCATGCGCCACCTGGCTGGCCTTGGGCACTTTTAACATGCTGGATAATATTGATGATAGATTGCATTTTAAATCTCAAACCTTTTGATTTGTCCAAGTTTTTTCCTGCCGTGACGTCGCATCGTTTTTGAAAGGGGGCAGAGAAAAAATTTCAAAAAAAAAAAAAAAAAAATTGACAAAAAAGGATATTGTCCAAACTCCAAAATCCTATTTGGGGGGTAGGGGGTGGGAGTCATCTTTCAGTATCATTTTTTCCTTTATTTGACCTTAGTCACCTAACTGTAACAAAAAGTGTGTGTGTGGGGGGGGTGGGGGGCAATCAGCCTTTAAATGAACCTTCTCAATAATGAAATATTGCAAAGCAATATGGGAATGATGTGCTATTAACTTGTTCTCTAGTTTTATTCACAGTTAACTCAGAATATTGTGTTTTCTTCATTTTAATGCTTTCTTTCGTACATATACTACTGAAGAAAATCTGTCATTAATAGTTCATTCTTATTTTCATGACCTGGCAAGTTAAGGTGTTGGGATTTTGGGATCGACATCCAATCCATAAATTATCAAACTTGTCTACGTGAAGCGCCTCAGGACGTTGAACAGATATTTCTTCATCTGGACAGAGAATCAATGAAATAAACATCCCAGACTTAGAAATCAGGTGAACACGATTATTGATGCAGTCGGAGATTAAGAGGTTTCCGAATTTGTCGCGTGTTATGTATTTTAGATCCATTTCTTCTTTGGCTGAGACAGAAGGTGGGCGCTCGTAAGTAAAAATCTTCTTCCCAAACGTGTTAAGTGCCACAACACGACCTGAAAAATGGCTGTGTCGATCAATGACACACAGGCTTCCATCAATATTTTCTGTCAGACATGATGGATAATGGAATATGAAGTTTCCTACGACCTCTTCGAACTGGAAAAAGTTCAAAACTTGGCCTGTTTTTGAAATTCGAAGAATGCCTCTTTCCGTATTAGCAGACATGTCTTTGGAGTAGCGTTCACTTGCGCATGCGTAAACGTCGCCGTTCTGGGATACTTCCAGACCCAAGGGAAAAAGTTTTCTTGTATCGACAAACACGACACCCTTGTCATCGACGTGTTGCAAATCATACGCACGTATTTCGTGAATACTAACAAACGTCATCAATACAACTGTGTTTTCTTTCGTGAAGGCAAGGCTGTACACAAATCCCTTGTTAACTTTATATTTTATTGCGCTCTTGTTTTTGCTGTGTGGGACGTGAAGTCTAAGTGTTAAGGGGGACTGAACTCCTGCCACCCATGTTTCGTCCTCTAGGAGGTTCTTTAAGGTCGAAATCGTCGCCAAACTTATCTGATAAACGCCGTAGAGTTCGAATTCAGGGACAATAGGGCATTCTCCAAGAACATTGGAATGTTTGTCATGTGCAAGGAATTTCGATTTTCTAGCAATTACTTTATTTTCTTCCAATGGCCCTTGGACATTTTCCTCGTACTTGCTTTGCAGTTTTCTGCATAACTGAATAATTTGAACAGTATTTCCATCCTTTTGCACATTTTCAGTAGTCTGCAAGTCTTTCCGTACACCTGATAATTTCTCTAAAACCTTCTTTTGTCTTTCTTCTGCTCTTTTCAAATCTGCTTCCAGCGTCATTATAAGCTGGTCCCTATCCTTGTCAATCCTCTCCATACAGCTCAAATATTCGCCTTGAATTTCGGGCTCGGTAAGGTTGTTTAGTTCCTGTATCTTTTTTACTCCCTTCTCTGCGCTTTCGCTTTCTTTCATCAAAACCGCCATTCTTTTTTCTATGTTTTCGGCTTTGATTTTCACAATCATTTTATTAGAGACTTCAATCAGATCGCCAAGATCTTCAAATGTGTGACCTTTGTGAGTTGAAACTATGCATTTCAGACATACTAACTGATCGCATTGGCTACAGCTTGCTGTAAATGACTGCCCGGTATGAAATTGGCATTTTTCATGCTCTTCATCGTCTGCTGTCAGAAGCTGTATATCACCAACAAAATCCGATGTCTGTTCGTGTGACATGTTTTTCTCCTATAATCAACTTTTGTACAGACCTGTAAAGCAAATACTAGCGGATTATCATACGTATATGGTACAAATACATGTGTATCTACATTTATAAGTGGCCATCCATTAACACAATTTGAACATTTGAAATCCAAATGTTCCAGAATCCTAAATAAGAATACATATTTCTGAAATAATTAGTCACGTTTCACACATCAATTATAAGTATTTTCCCAGTTTATAATAAACTTGGAATATAAATGATATATATGAGAACTTTGTACACTTACCTATTTCACAGGCACATGTTGTAAGTGATGAATATACAGTACGGTCCAGAAAATTAACTGTATAAACTATATGTATGAACAGATTGTATTTCCCGAACTTGCGGAAACATTCACTTCAGTGCAGTCGTTCCAGCAGATTTACAATAGCTTAATAGTTTTCTTTCTCATTTAAGTTACTTAATTATTTTTTTTAACTGAAATTCGATTTGAAAATATCCAGACAGATGAATTTGGCAACTTTGTAACCACCTCTCTTCTCTCTACCACATGTGTAACACATTAAATGAATAATGGGCCTTATTTCACGAATCTTCATATTTTTTTAGGGGGGGGGGGTTGTTCATTCATTAAGTGCTATGCTTCTAAGTGCTTTCAACATTATGAGTATATTAAATAATTATGTATAAGTGAACTGATAAGGATTAGTCATATTTACATAATGAAGAGCAATATGCAGCCTTTTAATTTTTTTTTTCAAAATAGATTAATTAAATCACTTTATCCGCTAATCGCTTAACATGCATGAATCTACATTAGGCCTATTCATAAAGTACATGTACACTGTAGTATGAGCCTGTATATTTTAAAGTATTTAAATAAAATATCTTATGGCAGATTATTGTATATTAAATGTTTGAAAAAAATATTAAATAATAATAATAAAAAAAATACATATTGAGATATAGTTTCGTTTGTTGCATGTTTTACTCAGATATCTAGAATGATATTTTCGCTATTTCAATCACAGTGTATCAAGTAGTATATAACATGTACATTGTACATGCATGTGCATGTATTTCAGTAAATCGTGTACAGTTTCATTTAATATGATTTTTTTGTTTAATATTTAAAATGATGTTGAAAGCGAAATATTGAATAGTTGAGGGGTGTTATGGCGCTGTATTATGTTAAATAAATTTATACAGTCTCTCGAATTAAGACATCTTTAATTTGTGTCGGGCTCGGAATATAAAATATTTTCACAATGTAAACAAACAAAACAGCCAAGAAAAGCTAGCGTGAACGTTGTGAAAAATTAAGGGAATTAGTAAGTTGTAAATTTTTCTTAACAAATGCGTCGCTACACCCATTTAAAGTTAAAAAAGAAGATATACATATTATTTAATCATGCACATAGGCTCATACGTGTAGTTAGCAATAGCAATCAAATGAACAGATGAAAGTATGTAATTATTCTCTCTGTCTCTTTGTAGAGATTCGCCTACATCAGGCCGTCCACTTCTGTCAAGAGTATAAGATGAAAGCAGGATTTGTTAGGTTGTCCTCTGAGAAGAAAAGGTGAAAACAATCTGAAGCTAAAACATATGTAAAAGGATATGTTTGTTCTTTTACTTGAAAAGGTGATACATAGGGAGAGGGTAATCTTTTGAAGTTCCTTTGTGAACTTCAAATCATCTTAAATATTTGTGACTGAAATGTGAACTGAGAAGAAATATATATCAACATGGTCAAAAACATTGATAGATTCACATCCATAATCATTTCAATTGATATGTACTTGATATTTTTCTTAAAACATGTATAAATTTACATTATGTGATTAGATATTCCTTGTTTACAGATTCATTCCAGTCAAAAGAACTGTACATGCATTGCTGTTTTCTGCATTAATGGACGTCATTTGAAGATGTATATGACAGCTTCCAGGTATTGCTTCATGAAAAACACATACTGATGACTGATCAATGACATAACCATTGTGCTTAAAGCCTCCTATACTGAGGTAACAAATAGTGTATAATCCAAAATACTTGAACATTTTTGCGCACGTATACTAATAATGGCTATTTTAAAATCTTCGACAAACATGTAAAGTTGCAAAAATCAAACAAGATACATGTAAATTCATGTACTCCCATATTAACATGATGTTTTACCCTGTTCATTGTGTTTGGCTCATGTTTGATAGACATAGGATGTAAAATTTTATTTCTATAAAATCTTAAGAAAATGAACTTTGAAAAAAAAAAAAGCTATTAATATGACAGTCTTTCTTCATAACCTTTCCTTTGTTGAGTTTTTATAATTTTTTTGGTATCTCACAGTGTTTTAGCTAGGATTTCCAGCAAGGGAGCCAATCCTGAAAAGGTCTCTTAAGTGTGCTAATAATAATTCAAAAAGGACATGTCTCAAAATCCTTCATTGGGCCTACATTTAGTAGAAGAATGTACCTGAAGTCAAAAAAAAAAAAAAAAATCTGCAGCTGGTGAGGGGTGGTGGCAACTCTACACATGCTACACTAAGGTTTCACAACGAATTTGTCAAGTAAGTGAATGATGGACATTGTCTTCTTAAACTCAAGAAAATGACTAATTATACACATAAAATTGAGTGCATTTAAAACCAAAAGTGAATTTAGAGATCTCAGATTGACTAGCTTAAATTTACTCAATTACATTTTATTTTTTAAGAATCCTTAGAAATCAGAAAATTTAAATTATCAGAGAAAACAAAGGCTGTGTACATGTAAAAATTGTGTTAGTTCCATGTTGACTTGTCTCATATTCATCACAGCGTGGTGTTTTGTGCCACAAATTAATTAAATAAGACCCATTTTTTAGTAAAAGACAACATTTATTGTTCCCTTGACTTCAACACAACAGCAACATGGTTAAAGTAGTCAATTGAGTGCCGACACTAGTGTTTTTCTTAATAACACCTAATAATAAAGATAATTTATATAAGGGGTTGAAAGTGTAATGTGTGTACTATTCTAAGAAATAGCAAGACCATCAATCAATAAAAAAAATATTCAAGTTCTTCTATCAGTATATAAGTGTTTATGGTCAATATTGTATCATGTTTGTAAAGTTGGAATGTTCACATTTTTAACAAAGGAAGATATTGTTAAAGACATATTTAACTTTCAATCCCTGTTTAAGTTGTTTAATAAATGAAGTGTTATTGAAAAATTAGTGTCCATACAGACCACACTAAACTAAAAAATCTTACTGTAGAATGAATAGGAGCTTGAATTCTGTTCGTTATCTCCTTACATACAGTGTATTTTACGAGCAAATTCAAAGAATTGTGTTCCCCTACTTTTGATGTCTTAGGATGCTTTTACATGTATTTCTGGCATATTGTGTCAAATGTACAAGCCCGTTCATTTGTCATTGAAAAGTAATCAACAAAGTTTAAATTTTTGAAAATAAGGTCAAACATGAAGGTCAATTGAAGAGGTAAAAAGAACCCATTGCATTTTCAGAAACGTCTTTTCTGAGGTAATGCACATGTTAAATACCTTTTCTCAATGAAAATGTTTAAGGAAAGATAACAATTTTAGAAAATAGGTCAAATAAACTTGAAGGTCAATGTCACAGATCAAAAATCATAGTATATTTAGAAAGGTCTTTTCACAGGTGATATATACATGTGTAAAATGAAAGCCAAATATTTTCTCTTTCAAAAGTAATTACCAATTTGAGTAATTTATTAATTTTCAAAAAAAATGTCAAACTTCAAGGTCAAGGTAACAGGGTAAAAAATTATAGTATATTTTGGAAAGGTTCTGTCACAGGTAAAATGTGAAATATGAAAGCCATCATTAATTGTTAAATATAAAAAAAAAATTGTATTTTAAACAGGTTTTTGGCCCCAAAACAAAGACTTTTAAGTTGCAACACGGTTGCTATGGAAGATTTCAACAAACAGTGTATGATAAAGACGTGTATCAACTGTTATGGAGACACAGAATACTACTGCAAGACATGTAAAAGTAACCTATGTCCACAGTGTAAAGAGAGACACAACAGTGATCTAGACACTTTGTACCATGATGTTGTGATTTATAGAGAGAAATGTGAAGTCCTTCAAAAAATAGAGACTTGTGACAGACATCCAGATATGATATATGAAATGTACTGTCAGTCTTGTGAACTTCTTGTCTGTAATCTGTGTATAGAACATAGAAATCATGAAAAAATGGATCTTAAAGCTGCTTATAGAATAACCAGACAGCAATACAAAGAAACAATTCACAAAATCAGAAGTGAGGTTCTGTATAGAAACTATAGTGTTTTATCTGGGATTCAGAATCACATGAAAACATGCAGTAGAACACTTTCAGGTATTCAGTCAGCAATGCATTTAAAAGCTATAAGGTTAAAGGATTTAACTGATACTGTCTTGTTAAATGATATAACAAAATGCAGCCTGCTTTTGGTTCAAACACTACAACATCAGAAGTTCAAACAAAATACATTTCTTGCTAAATCTGAATACTATGAACACAGATCTGAGCATTTATTGATCAGACCTGTACAATTTCTTTTATTCTACAAGAAAAATTTCATAAACACGACTAAAACAATTGTACAGGTAAAGCAAGTGCCTATTTTGTCAATATGTGATAATTTAAACAAAGCTGATGTCAATCTGTTATTAAAAGAAACCCAAAGTGAAATCATAAAAAGAGAAATATTAGATGAACAGCTACTGAAAATGATGTCTAAACCTGTGTTAAAGAGGTCGGTGAAAGTCAAAGATATCAGTTATGGTCGTCATGTTTCTATTGTGGCACCAGATAAATTCTGGGTCAGTGATTGGAACAATCTCATCTTGACAGACACCTCGGGTGAAACTCTTCAGGAAGTTACAGACAAAGCTGCTTTTGGAGGTGTGCACACAGTATCAAGTGCTGGGGAACTTCTTTACGTTGACATCAGAGGAGATGTCAAAATTCAAACAGAAAGCCGATCAATGGTCATGTTAATGAGAATAACAGATTCATTGAGACCTGTCAGTCTCCACTACTGTGTGTCCTCTGGAGAACTACTTATTGGCATGAGGATGTATAATTACAAAACATATACAGGCATGGTAAAACGGTATGACAACAGTGGGGAAGTAGAACTCCAAACTATCCGAATCGACCACAAAGGTGAAATTTTATTTGGAGATCCGAAGTACCTCACAAAAAATTGCAATGGAGATATCATTGTGTCAGACTATGATCTCAGAGCTGTAGTGGTGGTTGACGCTGGAGGCAAACATCGGTTCTCTTACACGGGGCCTCCATCAGGATCGGGACTGAAATCAGGACTACAACCTGAAGGAATCTGTACAGACGCCCTGTCACACATCCTGGTGGTCGATACCCTCACTGACACTGTACAGATGATTGACAAGGATGGTCACTTCTTGTCACTCCTGTTGACCAAACCAGGGAGTATACACGAGCTGTATGGCCTGGCCTATGATCACAAAACTCATCTTCTTTATGTTGGGCGTGGATCTTCAGAATGTACTGACATAGTGTCTGTGTATAGATACATAGAAAGGATAAACTATTCGACAGATATGCATTAATATCACCCCCTTGTGTTTTATGTATAGGAAATGGCGTGCAGTTTATGAAAATCTATCTGTACAGTTACGCCTCTTTTTCTGTTTATTTGATCTTTTACTGTGAAAATAATTTTTTTTGAGTTGGATATATTTCTGTTAACAATTGTCTTTGGAATCTGGAAAGAAAATGATGGAAACGCCATGCATTATTATGTGCACTAACAAATATTTCAATATGTAAAAGCTACAAGATGTAGTTCAAAAGTTTTGTTAAAATTCCACAAATCAGATAGAATTATGAAGAAGGTTCCAAAGCTTCAAAATTTGATTGGCAATTTTTTATGAAAAAAAAAATACACTAGTCATACGTCTTACAACTGCTCATTAGAAATTGTTAAATTAAAGGATATTTTTGTCCTGTCTGTCTGTTTATCTGTTTGTCTTTTGTGAACTTTTACCTTCGCCATAACTTTTGATCCACGAGAGATATATCTATGCAAACTCCACTGATTAAGATCTTTGAAATGACACCAAGGTCAATGACCTTGTTAAATTGACTTTGATGTACATGTATATGCTAAAAATATCTTTTTCGTACCTTCGTCATATTTTTTGAACTGTAGGAGATAAAGACTTTATATTTGGTATGCATTCTCCACTAAGTTCTTTCATATGATTCCAAGGTCAATTACATTTTGACCTTGACTGTGACATACGAGAGTATTTTTTCAATTGTAATGCGTCATAATTTGTTATTAAAACTAATTCATCGATATGAAATTTATTGATAAAGTCTCAGTAAACTACAGATGAAGGCCTATTTATTTATAGATCAAGACGAACTTTCCATCTCCTGAGATCCTGGACATCTATTCACAAAAAAATTAGAAAATTAAAGGAGACTTACCTGTAAGGTGAACTTTAATTGAAATTCTCCGAAGCACCAAGGAACGTTGGGTATTACGTGAGATATGCAAGCCTACTCCCAGATCAGTATTTAACTCAATATGTGAATATTCTTGATAATATGCAATTTTACAGATGCTACATTATTATAATTTTATCACCCAAGTTCCCATGGGAGGGAGATCAAGGGTGGGCACGTAATACCCAACGTTCCTTGGTGTTTCGGAGAATTTCAATTAATGTTCACCTTACAGGTAAGTCTCCTTTAATTTTCTAATTCTCCTTCACCACGAAGTCACGTGGGTAACACGTGATATGTTTAAAGCAAATATTCACATATTGAAAATAGGAATTATACAAAGAAGAAGAATTCCTATAACTGTCAAAAATTTATCTAATATTCATATCATCTAAACTACATGTTGAAGACAAAATTGCAGACTGAAATTTTTTATCATTATTTAAAACAGTTTTGTCATAAAATTTTGCAAATGTATTCTCATTAGACTATCCAACATGTGATAAGATATTGTCAACTGAAATCCCTGAAGAACGTGCGGTGGCGCTTGCAGCAGCGCGAGTGCTATGTCCAGAAAACTTGCTGGTGTCAATGCCAGATTTAGATATCAGAGTTCTTATCCAGCGAGAAATACTGTCCTTCGACGCCTCTCGGAACGGCTTTTGGGTTGTCAAAAGAAGTCTTCTATTTCCATTACCTCTATATTTTTCCGTTTTTGTTACATACACTTTAATACATGTCACAAGATTATTTACAAAAAACACAATTCTATCTTCATAACATGCATATTATCTAAATCTAAAAATGACAAAGTTTGTGCTCTCTGTCCTGTTACTAACGCTAATAGCATGACAAGCTTCAATGTCAAATAAACACTGATAAAACTTCATTTTCCCCCATACTGCGAATAAACGATAAGACCGTGCTCACATCCCAAGTCTCTGTATACCGCGGTAAATTAGGACGGTCGATAAAGACTCCTCTCATGAAACGTCTAATTAGCGGATCAGAACCAATAGCCACATCATTAACAGGTGGTAATAAACAACTGAGAAAACTCCTGGCGGAATTAATTGTACTATATGAATATCCGTTATCAAAGAGTTCGGTAAGAAAGTCCAAGACAACTGTTATTGAAAAAGTATCAGATACTTGGATAGATTTGCGATTTAGAAATTCTAGACACTTTTTCATATGCGAATCATACTGTTTTTTAGTTGACGCTCTCCAAGAGTTCATAAGAACCGGAATTGCTTTCTCTGAAATGCCTTTGGATTGATACATTTTCCGGATATGTGACATGCCAGAAGACGCAGCTTTGGGTATAGTTTGTGAACTTCTTGAGGGCGATGAGGTAATACCAATGTGTCCCGGGACTGAGGAAGAATAAGAGGTGCATCGACACACAGTTTCATCAAGAATGGGTACCAACTCGCTGTTGGCCAATCTGGAACAATTATAATTGCAGCTGGTACTTGTTCTTCCACAATCTTTTTCAGAATTCGCTGGATCAAACTAAATGGAGAAAAAATATACACACATGAATACAAATTCCAAGTACATGTAAAAGCATCAGTAGCACTAGCACTCGGATCAGGGTGCCATGATATGTAATTAGTTAACTGATTATTTACTCGAGATGCAAATAAGTCGACAACTGGTCGAGAAAAGATACTGGTTATCTTCAAAAACAAATTTCTGTTTAACATCCATTCCGTGTCATCGCGAATTTTACGGCTTTCCAAATCGGCCACAGCATTTAATGAGCCCTTGATATGGACAGCGGTAAGGAACACATTATAACGATAAGCCAAAAGCCAAATGTCTCTTGTTAATTGGTTACAAATCACCGACTGAGTTGATCCAAAATGATTTATGCAGGCTACGGCCGTGGAATTATCAATGTGCAGTTTCAAATGCTTATCTCTAATTTCATTCTTGAAGGACTGGAGAGCTAAATAGACAGCAAACAGTTCTAAATAATTAATGTGAGGATAATTTGAGCTGTCAATCTGCGACCACGGTCCCCCAGTCCGTATATCACCCAGAACTGCTCCCCAGCCAACAGTGAGAGAAGCATCAGTAAACATTTCCAGAGAGGGTGATTCTCTTCGAATAGGTGATTCCATACATTCTATGTTTTCATACCACCACTTCAGATCACTAACAGAACTATCAGATATGCACATGACCGCATCAAAATTTCCTTTATTTTTAATGCTTGAATCTTTTCAATTTCGAGGCGCTTGCAATACAAGGATCCTAAGGACAAGCAAGGACATTAGAATTTAACATGCCTAGCAGTTCTGACACTTCTCGAATGGAATTTCTTCGTTCTCTCAAAATCGTATCTATTTTAACTTTGAGCTTCTCTATCCTTTTATGCGGAATCTTGATAGTCATATTTTCTGAACAGATGATAAATCCGAGAAAAGTAACAGTTCTTGCTGGGATCATGACCGATTTTTCCCGGTTGATGACAAAACCTAAGTTTTCTAAGATTTCTACAGTGTCATTTATATTTTCCAAGCACATATCAAAAGACTCAGCTTGTACGTAACAATCATCTATATACATCACTGATTGATGACCTCTTGAACGAAGATCAGACAAAATAGGTTTCAATAGTTTAGTGAAAACACGGGGTGCTGAACTTAATCCCATTGCTAAACAGGTGTATTCCCAAAGCTGCCCTTTCCAAATGAACCGCATGAATTTCCTATCTGCGTTGCAAATTGGAACAGTATAATAAGCGTCTTTTAAGTCAATCGTACCCATATAACAATTTGGGGTAACCATACAGAGTGCATTACTAAAACTTTCCATTTTAAAATGCTTATATACAATGAATTCATTCAGTTCCTTCAAATTTAGAATCATTCTAAATGTTTTGTCAGCTTTAGGAGTAAGAAATACTGTTGAAATAAATTGATCGTTACGGAAAACAGCTTCCCGAATTACACCTTTGTCCTTCAATTTTTGTATTTCACAGTCCAAATAAATTGCCTGTGCACTATTCACAAATGTTTCTCTAACAGAATTTTGTAAAGGCATCGATGAAAATTCTAATTTGTATCCAGACACAATATCTAAAATAACTTTGTCATTAGTTACATGCTTCCAATTTGACAAAAAATGCTGTAATCTACCAGCAATTGGTAATTCATTGGTGACTTCTGTCAAATTTCCACTAACCTGACTTATTGCCGACGACTGTCTTTGCTCAGGTTCCTTCGGTAGGGGCGGAAGGTTCCGCGAACATTCTTCTCCCCTCCTCTTTTCCTGGATCCAATCGTCCAGGAATTTCTTGAGCCTAAAAAAGGCTTCCGATTTCCATGAAAAAAGCCAGACTTTGTGCGATCTTCACTTATTTTCTTGCCGACTTTATTTGCTTCTTGAATGCTTTTAAGCTGATCAGTGATATTGTCACCGAATAGATTATCGGTGACGGCATTTTATGATGAACACAAAGATCGGTATTCCACATTCAGAGATGGCTTAATGCAATTTCTGCGCACATGATTGATCTCATCATTAGCCATGGCTATCATAGATATGGCCTCCATGAGCCGATTAACGGTCTCATTTGTTCCAGCATTATCTCCATGAGGGTCCGTTTTAATGAGATTGTCGACGACTCGGATTATCGGAACTATGGCATGTGCGATAAGTTTTTGCGGCTTTTGTATGTCAAGATCCGAATTCCTTGCAGATGCTGGTAATGATCGCCATATTTCCTTATTGATTTTAGGTATCAACAACATTTCACAATTTTGAGGTAGTTTAAATTTTTCATAAATTTCTTCTCGTTTCTTCTCTTCATTTGCTTTAGTTTTGTCTCCAGAAAACATAGCTTTCAAAATTTTCGCAAGCTCATCTCCGATCGGCAATCCAAACTTATCCTTACCGTCAAATTGTTTTGATAACTTTTTCAAGATGGAATTTTCGGACGGTTTTGCTGTTTCTCCAGAAGTATCTCCAGACACTTTCTTCGTCTTTGCTGGTGGTTCCCCATCAATCTCGTCAGACAAGAGTTCATCTAAACGCTCATTAGTAGCGTTTAATTCAGCCATTACAAACTCTTGCATATCGTGGAACTGCTTAGATTGCGCTGAAAGCAGCTTTTCTACGAGGCGTTCTTCGAACGAATCTCGTAGGTTGGTAGGTTCTCCTGAGCAGCTTGGCTGCTTTATTGCAGGAGAAGAAGAAGATTCTCCTTAACAGCTTGGCTGTTTTTTAGTAGGAGAATTTTCAAAGTTATCTTGTGGTCCAATAACATGAACATCAGCCTCTACATGAAC